CGACTCCAGTGAATTGATATCCATTCTATAATAAGGGCACCAGAACTGAACCGCATAATCGAGGTGCGGCCTGACTAGCGCAAGATATAGTTGCAATAAGACCTTTGCACTCTTATTACTTACACTTCTAGATATAAAACCTAATACTCTGTTTGCTTTATTTCGAACATTAACGCACTGTTTTCTAGGCCGCAGGTCTGGGCTTACAAGTACCCCTAAGTCTCTTTCACAAGTCGACTTCTCTAGGTTGATGTTGTTAAGGCTGTATTCATTGACAGTATTTGTTCTTCCAATATTAAGTACGCTGCACTTGCTGGTGTTGAATTTCATTTGCCATTTTTCTGACCACTCCTGCAGTTTATTTAAATCCTCCTGAAGTGCATTTGCATCCTGCCCTGAATTAATCTGCCGCCTATTTTGGTGTCATCCGCAAACTTGCTTATGTCACTTCTGATACCAGTATCTGGATCGTTAATGTAGATTATGAACAAGAGTGGGCCTAGTACTGACCCCTGGGGAACCCCACTGGTTACACAGCCCCACTCAGATTTAACATCATCTACGCTGACCCTCTGTGTTCTATCGGTGAGCCATAATTTTATCCAATTTTAAACTTTCCCCACGATACCATGAGCCTTAACTTTTCTCAGAAGCCTCTGATGCGGTACTCTGTCAAATGCTTTGCTAAAGCCTAAGTAAATAACATCGTAATTTTCGTCATTATCTCCTACCTCGAAGACTTTCCTATAAAAGTCAGCAGATTTGTTAGACAAGATTTTTCCTTTGTAAACCCATGTTGAGAGTCGTAGATTAATTTGCTTTTCTCTAAATGCGTTCGGATGCTATTTGCTATAATTGATTCAAGAAGTTTCCCCACTACTGACGTCAAACTGACCGGCCGGTAATTTGACGCTGATGTACTGTCTCCCTTTTTGAATATGTGTACTACATTTGCCTGTTTCCACAAGTCTGGCACAACTCCCGTGTCTAATGATTTTGTAAATAAATTTACGAGGGGTCCGCTAATCTGTTCCCTACACTCTTTCAAGACTGGAGGGAAAATTTCATCCGGGCCTGGGGATTTTGTCTTTAATTTATTTATCCTCTTAAGAACATCCTCTTTTCTGATAGTGATATTCTTTAATTTATCTTCTTCCTCTCCTCTAAATATTATTTCCACCTCTGGAATTTCCTCATGAATTTTTTCTGCGAAAACTGATAAAAAGTAGCTGTTCAATGCTGTGCTTATTTCTTCACTGTCATCTATCACTTCCCTCCCCCCCCCCTGACTTTAAAGGCCCTACTTTGTCCTTGACCTTTGTTCTATATACCTGGAAAAATCCCTTGGGATTCGCCTTGGATTCTCTTGCTATCCTGATTTCGTAGTCTCTCTTTGCTTTCCTTACATTTTTCTTAACATTCCTAGATAGTTCATTATACTTATAAGTAAGATGTATTCACCCATTTTATAATTATGCAATTCTTATTATATAGACTTTGTTTTCTGTGTTCGCCATTGTACCTGTTGACTCACTCTCAAAGTAATACTGGATTATAAAGGAAGAGTTGTTTCATAAACCCCTGGCTCCTCTGGAAGAGTTCGGGCGGGTAAATTCTCATATCACCTAACAGTAGTATATAAATTAACCAAATAGTAAAAGCAACTTACAGATTTTTTTTTTCAATTCTAGTATTTCCGAGTGGGTGATAGGCTATATTCTGATTTCATTTTTTTTAAGTGTAGCATAAAGACACCTGGTGTAATGAAGATATATATCATTGTTATATGCATTTAAAATTCTTTCATCTCTGACTGCCAAGTGTCAGGGCTGTATTAATTTAAGTCTTGTCTCACACCAAGAGTCAAGAGGTCCAAAAAGTCAAGTTTCAAGTAAGTTTCGAGTCAAGTTCCAGATCTAAATTCTCTTCTACAAACGATAATTGTTGTGTAATGATCAATAACTCCACTCTACGACACACAGTGAAAGGCAAGCATCTTTAAAGGATTTGTTGATGTAATATGAAAAAAGTTATATGTTTATATTGGGAAATAATAAGGCAACCAGTGTGGATTTGTGTGACGATTTCTTGGACATATACATCTATCTTTCTTTATTGGGTACTAATTGTAGGTAGTAGGCAACTATCAAACAGGGAGGTACTACCGCCTAGGAAGATATTGGAAGCATAATGTGTTGTCTAATGGTAGACCCTGCTGCCTTATGACATCACGAAAATTGTGACCAAGTCCCAGGCTGCTGATCTGACTTTCTGCCTCATTTACACACAATTGCAGGGTCTCGAATGTTTCCCTTACTATTGACAACACAACATACAAATATCGTTTCTCACTATTTGATTTTTTATGTATTTACTTTTTATTGTAATAATTATTATTTTTATTTTTACTTTTATTATTATTACTATTATTATTATTATTATTATTATTATTATTATTATTATTATTATTATTATTATTATTATTATTATTATTATTATTATTATTATTATTATTATTATTATATTTTCGCCCCCCAGGGCTTGATATGGGTCAGTGACCTGTGCCCGGGTGGCTTAATCCCCGTAAAAAATATTAATAATAAAAAATATAACCTGCCTCGGCCTCTATTCCCAGTCGTGGAAGATTTTAAAAAATGACTGCAGCTTGGCACTTTCTGTTTCGAAATTGACCTCAATATCGAGAAGATGCACCCATTAAAAATATGATGTGTCCCCTAAAATATCTACTGAATTTCCGTTTTCTTTGATACTTTTACAAAACTGTACACGTATTTCAACAATAAAACAATTATATATTTAAGGCAAAGAAATACTTAATTATTACTTGAATTTTATAATAAAAACCTTAATGTTATGAGTGTAAAAAGTTTCATTTAATTTCATACGACAATAATACTTGCATAAAATAATTGTTTTTACTTTTAAGCACTAAATAGATTCTACAAATTCTAACACTAAGGAATATTTCATGTCTATATAAACTCTTTTAACTTTATCTTGAAAGAACTCCTCATGTGAGTCAGAGTTCTTGTAATACTCTCATCAATATCAAATGGATCTTAATCACCGAGAGTAATTAGATGCATAATTTCTTTATAATATTTGAAAAAAAAGTTATGTTATACTGCTATAATTTAGTTATAACAAAATGTCGATGCATTATTGTGTTCAGCTTTATTAGACAAACAATACCCCATGGACATTTGAATTTCATTGGCTTGGTTATCATTATACAATGTGAATCAATTTCCATTTACCATTACATTATGTATATACACATGCTGAATGACTTCTATCTCCATATCCTTATTTGCGTAAATCTTATAAATACAGGTATTGTATATGACAACACCAAATTGAGGTGTATAAGCATCTCAAAGGGCACTACTCAGTCGAGTGCCCTTACCTGGAGCTAGAGGACACTCGCCCCACAAGGGGTCACAGACTCACAGCGCAAGGTTGAAGAAGCTGCAAGCCCAGTGTACTGTATGTTTTGTACTGTTTGTGTGTATGGTAGTTGGTGTTTTGCCGCTCTTCTGAGGGCTATATTTTGCTCTGCTTGAAATTTAAGTTTGTTTGTTCTTGCGATTGTGTTCAGAGGTGTCGGAGGGTATTCTAAGTGTGGTCTGATCAGTGCTCTGTATAGGTGCAATTGTGTGCTGGTGTTTAATTGGCGGAATCTTCTGAGCTTTGTAAGTGATTTTGCAATTGCTATTCTTTCATTGATGTGGGGGATTAATCCGTTTCTGGTTATCTTGAGTCCTAATATTTTTCCGTTGGCAGCATATGGTATTTGTTGGTTATTGACAATAATGGAGTAGGGGTTTGTTTTTGCGATGTGAATTATTTTGATTTTTTGGACATTGGTTTTTATCTTCCATAGTTATTTATTATCTCTATTTCTCTACTTGTTCTGATGGCCATCATTTGTTTGTATTTTCCTGTGTACCTGATTATCTGTGTGACATCATCTCCATATGCTATATATTCTGATTGCCGTGGTTACGGTATGTCTGCTGTGTATACAGTGTATAATGTATACACTATGAAGGTTGAAAGTTTGTCCTAGATGGTTGTCGATGATTAATTTGGCCTTTCTGTTGTCTAAGAAATTGCATAGTAGTGTTGTGATATTTGAAGGCATGTCCAATTTGATTATTTTCAACTTCAATCCTTCATGCCAGACTTTATCAAATGCTTTTGACACATCTCTTAGAATTATATTACATGAGCTCGGTAGCCAGGCCTACGCGTATTTATACGGCTGTTTAGGATCAGAGACGCGAGGTGTGAACTCTGCGGGGTCAATCACCGTGCAGTACGCGCGAGACGGCTGGTGCGCTGATCCTGGGCGTAAGGTCCAAGCTAGGTCGGCTATCGTACCCCTACGTCCGTACCTGAGACAGTCTGTCGACGTCGCTGGTTGTAAGCTGATTGGCTGGTAAGCGAACGGCAGGTGATCAGACGGTAGTTTTAGGGGAGAGTATCCACTACAGGGTGATGATTCTTCAGGTGGTGGGCTGGGGTGATGATTTTTCAGGTGGGACAACCTGGGGTGATGATTCTTCAGGTGGACTCTGGGGTGACGATTCTTGAGGTGATCCTAAATATCAACTAAATAAGATTATTATTATTATTATTATTATTATTATTATTATTATTATTATTATTATTATTATTATTATTAGGTAATCAAATGGTGGCGAAGGTGTGGCTATTAGGGGAGGCTGGAGGCCACGTTTAAAAAAAAAGACAATTAGTAGTAGTAGTAGTATTTCACACACAGATAGTTGCTCGTACAAGACAAATATAACAATACAAAAATAAACAAAATATATGATAGTTGTCATGCTATGATAAAATAGAAGGCACTGCAAAATTATAATATAATAATTATGGTGAATATGATAAATAAATAGAAATAGAAATGATTTGGATCTATTTGTTGTTCCTCCTCATCGCCGAGCAGATTATGGGAACACAACAACCCGAGTACCGAAGGCTGTTTAAATGGCCCGTCGGTAGTTGGGTCTGTGGTGTGACGGTATTTAGTGTAATTATATCGCCTTAAATCTGTGAATTGCGATTTTCTCTGATAAGATAACACGCAGTAGGTCACAGGTCGTATTGCATAGAATCGTGATGTGTGATAAATAATAATAAGAAGACTTTGGGTGTCTAGAACATTATGTCTGGTCAGGGCAAGTTTGACGCCCTCACCAAAGAACTCATCACTCACGTTTTAGGTTTCCAGGTAGGTTGATGGGTAAGACTTATGAAACAATTGATTAAACAGAGCATGAAGCAAAATGGGTGAATTTATAGTATCACACCGGTCTTTATTTCCGTATTAATAATAAGTATTGTAATGTTTACACAATTCTAGGACATTTTTCCTCTATGATATCTCCACCGAAAATTAAGATAACCTATATGTTAATTTTTCAAGGTAATTACTTTCGCTCAGTCACAAGTGTCACCATGATTTGCTTACTTACTCACAGATACTCACAGATGATCTTCTCCAGCTCAATAGCCTCTTCTCTACTCAGACGGTGGCTGTGTGTGGCGGATAATTGTGCCCTAAAATTATATACTTGTTGTTGATTTTTCCAGTATTTATCTAATTTTGCTTCAAACTTTTCCACCGTCTCCACATTCACTACCCACAAAGGTAAACTATTCCAGTTGTTGACAACCCTACTCGTGAACGAATGTCTTCTGAGATTTAGCCTCGCTCTTGTTTTGTAGATCTTCTTTGAGTTCCCCCGGGTAGTGTCAGCCTCCCTCATCTGGAACATTCCTGCTGTACATGCCCGGTCATAAATGCCACACACTATCTTGTATGTTTCCGCTTGGTCCCCACTAGATCTTCTGTACTCCAGTGTCGGTAACTGTAATTTCCTTAGTCTTTCCTCATAAGATAAATCCTTGATCTGTGGTACTAATTTGGTAGCCCTCCTCTGTACATTCTCTACTGCTTCAATATCCTTAATGAGATATGGGCACCAAATTTGATTAGCATACTCAAGGTGTGGCCTAACCAGAGCAGTGTACAGAGCCTTGAATATAGGTGCATCCAGATGAACAAAAGTTCTTCTAATAATACCCACTATTTTATTAGCCTTGTTGATTTTCTCAGCTAGATGGTCAGAAAACGTCAGCTTATCATCGATGACTACCCCTATATCCTTCTCTACAGTGGTCTTCTTGATCGTGGTCTGACCCCCTGCTCACGCATCGCTCCAGGCCTCCGTCTTCGCTCTGTAAGGTTTTCTTGGTTGGTTGGTAAATTAATTTATTTATTCTAAAAAAGAAGTTAAACTTTTTCTGGTATGACTGTTGGGTGGGGTGGGGCTCTAAAAAAACACTTGATTTCCGGTGGAAATGAATATCAAATTCGTTCGAAACTCCTCAAATACATAGGAAAAACCTATTTTTAATATTGAAATAAAGACCGTTGTGATACTATAAAGTGACCAAATAAGGTAATGGTTTGTTTAGTACAGGTAGTTGGGAGGGTAATGTTGCAGATTACAGCAACCAAAAAATCTGATTAAAAAATGTTACCTAACCTAACTGGTAAATGTGCATATTACACTAACTATGGGATTTGTAGAAACAAAAAGTGATTTTCTGATGGATTTTGATGCGATTAGTTCAAATCTGACTCGTTTTTGTCGTAAATCACTTGTTTGTGATTAAGCCCCCTCCCCCCCCCCTCATAATAGTTCTATTTATTGCGTGTTCTAAACTCCCTGTGCTCTGTGCTTGCTAACTTATACCATATAACCAAACTAAACCTTACTTAACCCCCTGCCCCCGGATCCCTGGTGACCCTAACCGGGGGGTTTGCCCCTGGATCCTCAAACGCTATGTTATAACCCTAGAATCGCATGGTCAGCCTCCACGAGAATATAAATTGCTGTTAGGGTATTTGGTTAATTTTTACTTATGCACCGGTTTTGTTTGGATATTAAAAATATGCTTTTCCGATGATATTTGATGAGTTTCGAACTAATTTGATATTCATATTAGCTGGAAATCACTAGTTTTGCACCTCCCCACCCCCCCCCCACCCCAACAAAAATAGGGGGAGAGCCTGGGAAATGGGGTTTTTGGGTGGGTGAGAAAACAAAAACGGATCATCTAACCTAACCCAACCTTACCCTTAGCCCCGGTAGGCCAAGCTTAAAGTAAACCTAAATGTCTCCTCAGTAGTTAAAAACTTTGGGGCGCGCCATGTCCGAAAGTACAATACCTTAGTTAGAAGTGGAAGTACCAGGTATACGTAAGAATTGGATAGAATGATCGTCTTTCTCGTAAAACTCGGCAATAAACTTAAAATAGTCGTAGGAGCACAAATAACAACCAACCTCCAACACGGCCATTGTGAGACTGGTCAATGAAATTACCCAGGCTGCTTCCTTTGAAGAAAATAAAATGATTGGTCAAAAAAAAATTGCGTGATGATATCGATACATCATTGGTCACGACTGGATGACGTCAGTCAATATTGCACATGTGTGATGCGCAGATAACATCTCAAGGTAAATAAAATATGGCGACACTTGTGACTGAGCGAATTTAATAATATTGAAAATTTAATATCTCAGTTATCCTTAATTTCCAACTGAAATATCGTAGAAGAAAAGGGTTTTAGAATTGTGTAAACATTACGAAATACATATTAATAACAGCGAGAGAAAGATCGGTTTATAAAGAAAAATTCCCCAAGTATTTCTTACCTTACTCCGAGTCAGGGTCAGAGTCTGAGACAGAGACCAGAATGCGTCGTGGGTTCCTCTGTTCTCTAAAGTTTCCTTATTTTTAGAATAAAATAATACGATAAACTTCCAGTAATCGAAACCGCATCCAGCACGTTGTGGCTCCATGTTGCAGCTGATTAAAAATGTCCCACATCCTAGCACCCACGCCGAATATTGAATGCTAATGGGTTGAATCAAAAGTTGAGATTTTATGTTAGATTTGATTGGCTGCCGCCCCCGCCCTAGATTTGATTGGCTACGGCCACCCCCGATTTGATTGGTGGCTGCCTCCCGCACATGCGCGGGAGGTAAGCGAACGTATGAACCAACACAATTTGAGCAACAGCGTAGGGGCAACAGGTGCTCTGATTTTATTCTTTATAAAATTCAATAACTTCCTTATTAATTTGCGACGGAAGTGTAATATAAGAAAATGACCATAGAAAAAATAGTTCCATCGATTGAGTGTAGTGAATTCCGGAATTCTGTGGTTGCTGTAACCTGCATCATTACCACCTAACCTAAGCTAATGTAATATAAGAAAATGATCATTGTAAAATAGTTCTGTTGATTGAGTGTAGTGAATTTCCGGAATTCTGTGGTTGCTGTTTATTGCAATACTGTACAGTATTACCGTAGGTAGTAGGCAGCTATCAAACAGGGAGGAACTACCGCCTGGGAAGATATTGGAAGCATAATGTGTTGTCTAATGGTAGACCCTGCTGCCATATGGCATCACGAAAATTGTGACCAAGTCCTAGGTTGTTGACCTGACTTTCTGCTTCGTATACACACAATTGCAGGGCTTCAATTGTTTCTCTTACTTTTACAACACAACATACATACTGTATATCTTTTCTCACAATTTTTTTTTTTAATTTGGTATTTATTTATGGTCCTTTGTACAGTATTATATTATATTATTATATTTTTTATATTATTATTATTATTATTATTATTATTATTATTATTATTATTAGTATTATTATTATTATATTTTTGCCCCCCCAGGCCCCGATGTGGGTCAGTGACCTGTGCCCTGGTAGATTAATCCCCGTAAAAAAATAAATAAATATATAAATGAATAAATACCTTGTTTAAAAGGGTGGGTGGGGGAGGGTCTGCCCCCCCCAGCTATGAAGTTAGGTAAGGTTAGGTAGGACTCTTTGGTTGGTAAGGTCAGTTTTTTTTAGATTCTGTGCGTTGCTGTATAATTTTTATTAGTTACTATTACCCAAAGAACATTTGTGGAAAAAATGAATGAAATTGAACAATGCATTCTGGTGTTAGCCATTTGCTCCATTATTACCGAGACCATTAGGACCAGAAGGACTTCATAGAATTGCACCAAATTTTTAGGTAATATTGTTTGGATGATACTAAGTAATAAAATTGAGATGACAACATAGTACAGTACGGTACTGTAATTTGCGAGTACTGTACCTGTACTGTAATTTGCGAGTACTGTACCTGTACTCTAATTACATTTGAAAAAATATAATTAAGATCTTCCAAGTGCCATTATGCAATCCAATTGTGGACCATAGATTCGGAATCAGCATGTTCAGGAGTACCTATACAGTACAGTACTGAGATTTGGAGAAAAAAATACCGGAGACTGAGATATATTTTTTAACCGCTATTGTGGCGTCCTCATACGGACCTACCAAATTTTGTCCTAACAAAAATTTCAGAAAAACAATGGTAGGAAAGGGCTGTACAGTACTTGTAATTATCATCGTCATTATTATTGTAGATAATATCTGATTAACTCTGTATTTAATTTTCAGGAGGGCGAAGAAAATTTTGTACGAAGTGAGCAGTTTGTCTTATCCAACTTGTTATATCATCATTGCTTGGCAGTAAACAGCCATGCTGTACGTCGTTCCATTGAGGGTATTGCACTCAAGTTCACCATCCATGGTCAGCACCATCGAGCTCAGCTTTTGACTTCCCTTACCTCGGAATTTCTTGCTTCTCCTCTCTTCAAAGACCACTTTCAAGTAAGTAATACAAATCTTTATGAATTAATGTTTCCTGTTGGTGACGTGATTAATGTGCTCACAATATTTTTAGGCTTCAGGTTTCAGGAAACCTCATCATTAGTACATGTAGCTGGGATTTAATCTTATGGTCAACTTATATCACTGTCATAACCATTACCATAAAAAGGAAAGAACATACAGGCATCCCCCGCGTTACGGAAGGGTTGCGTCCCTGGAAAATTGACCGTATCGCGAAATTCCTTAACGCGAAACCTATTTTCCCAGTGACTTCCATTATAAAACTGGAGATGCATTCCTAAGGAATTTTTTTGGCCCCAAAAAAGTAATTCAAGCACTTTTATGAATGAAAATAAACAATTATAAATACATACAATACAGTACATTAAATAATTTATGATATGCATGTAATATGAAGAGAAATACTGTACAGTTGGAATAAATAAAAATATTGTACTGTACTCACCTTTGCAGCTTCTTTTTGTACTACTGCGGTCACTTCCACTTGTTGGCCTCTTTCCAGTCATCTTGAATAAGGGTAATATGGGGAATAAGGGCCGTATCGCGAAATTATTGGTCATAATTCACAAATTCTGTAAGAGCGAAATTCCGCAACCCGGGGTTCCGTAACGCGGGGGATGCATGGGTACTGTACAGTAGAAGCAGAGTTTGTCGTAACTGACAATAAAGGGTGGGGGTAAGTGACACCTTTAGCTTCAGTATCAATTGTTACAGGACAATGTTGGATTAATGTTCTCATTCATGGCTGAAATTTTCAGACTGATGTTGAATGGTCCTTGTTGTCTGTCTTGTTACATTTGAGCAACAGCCCCACACAGGTGCCAGTGCAGGAGGTACAGAATAAGGCATCTTCTCCTGAGAGCACAGTTGACTCACTTCCAGAGCAAATTGATTGGGGGACATATCTTAGGAATGAAGAGCCAAAGTATGTTCTTGGACCAGAGGAACCCCTATCTGTAAGTACCTGATGGTGGACTTTGTACATTTTTAATTGCAATAAAGGTACTTAACTGGTTGTGATTCTAGATTAATATAGGATTTTATATTAGTTGTACTATAATTTTGATATTTAAACTTAATAGGATTTTATTTTATTTATATTATTGTTTTAAATTATGAGTTTCATGTTTGGCGTCAAATGACCACAGGCTATGGCACCATATATTTTATCCAATCAATGGTTGTCTTTAATCAAGAGCAAACACAGACCCTCCTATCATGTATGTTCACTTCTGCTTTCTGGACATCTGTCTCCTTACTTTCAGTGAAGAAATAACAAAGTAAGGAGACAGACGTCCAGAAAGCAGGAGTGAACATAATTATATGATAGGAGGGTCTTCACCCTGTTCTTCCATATATATATCTCTCTCTCTCTCTCTCTCTCTCTCTCTCTCACACACACATTTACTGCAGTCGGGGTCAAAAGTCCCCCCCATCCCCCAAGTAAAACAGCATCAACCCCAAATGAGATGAAACAGTTGTCGGGGCAAATCAGTTTGGAGACTCATTCCCGTGACTCACTTTCACCACGAGGAACGAACTTTTATCCCTGACTGTATTAGTATTTCTGAATTATACATGATTAATTCTCATATTCCCATGTAATTTTTATATTAATTCTTTCCTTGTTCCTTGCTCTTTATGCTGTGCCTGGAAGTTATACATGCTTCCAGCCATTATTTGGGTAATCATTCCTGTGTCATGCTTAGCCTGTACCAGTTTATCGTTCATTCTATAACTTTTCCACTTCTCAACCTTAAAATTTCCACCTATTCTATTCATTCGTGGAACCATACTTTAATTAAGATTGGTACAGTATTCTGTAATTTTTCTCTTAAAAAAGTTACAAAATCCAACAGCCAGCTGAAGTTGTGGACATCACCAGTAACTTGTTTAAGGTAATTTATTTGGTACATATCAGAGTTCTCCAAATCTATTTTTTTTGTGGTAGAAACTCGCATCTTTTCCAGCTTATAGATACAATACAGACCATCAGGCTCTTGGTTGTCACCTTAAGGAAGGAAAAGCTTCTTCTGTTATTTTTTCACTATAAAGGTCATTACATAGCAAGGGGTGAAATATCGGTAGCTGGCCAGCATGGTATCATAATTGGAAACAAAATGCCCAATTTACAAAGCAAAAATGCTTAAGAATGTTTGAATTATTGGACAGCAAATATAGTGTTTTATTTGAAATTTGAAACTATTTTACCCCTAGTTTAGTGTGACCTTGAAGCTTCATGCACCGGTGGTTCAGGAATCAGGATTATGCTAAGTTCATACATTTGGCCTCTTTAAGCTTGTATGGGTGGCCCCAAAACCCTTTTGTTAGAAACCTGATGAATCTTCCAAAATTCCACAACATTATTAGGAGTACAGGCAGTCCCTGAGTTATGACCGTCTGACTTACGATCACTGTCACTTACGAACGGGATCCCAATATATTCATCACAAAATTTTAAAATTAAAATCACACTTTTTACATATATTGTTTAACATCACTTTGTTTGCAGTATTTACATTACAGTATTTGTTATGTATGGAATATTATTATTGTTTTGTATGGGCAGGGTTGTGCTTTAATCTAACCTAAACTATGGAATTAACACTGTTGACTTCTGAACAAATTGACTTACGATCAGGGTCCAGGAACGTATCCCTTTTGTAAGTCGGGGACTGCCTCTACAGTCTATTGTATATTTAATAAAAAAAAATTATATCTATATATAAGAGTATTCAAGTGAAACAATGTTGACTGCATGCAAAAATAAAATCATAATATTTTTTCTCTCTCTTCCTCTCTTCTTATTCTCCTGCCTTCTGTGTGCAACCTAAGATGAGTTAAACTAAAATTAATTAAAATAAATGAAAATTACTGTATAGTAGGGTCGGGATATATCACGAGGTAGGGTCCAACGATGTACGCTATATACTAAATTGCGATATATAATTACATGTAATCAATTGGGAAAGTAGGGTTAGGTTCTGGAGGCCCAAAAAATTACCAAACTTGACTTGAAGAGTTCATTTTCTTTCTAACTAAAGCACCAATGAACACCAGACTCGGGAACAACAGGCTATTTCAACATCAATATCAAGGAACACCAGACTCAGGGACACTTTATTCGGCAGCTGACGCACCATCCTGGGAACACCAGACTCGGCAGCAGACGCCACACTGCCACCCTCACTTAACAATCCCACACCTACATAAATGAACACCAAAAATATTAGTTATAGTATTAAATCTTTTCCATTAAGCTTTCCATTATCTTCACTTCACTTTTCACGTCACTAGCAACCCATTTACACTCTCTTTAGAAATTGGAATCCCGAGAACAACAGACGACACACTGCCACCCCCACTTAACAATCATAAACGAACAAACCAAAAATATTTGTTACAGTATTAAATCTTTTCCATTAAGCTTTCCATTATCGTCACTACACTTCACATCACTAGCAACCCATTTACACTCACCTTAGAAGTCATAATCTGCAGCAGAGTCGGCTGCTTTCTCGTCACTCACTCAGAAAGACTGAGCGGACGAGCGTGACTGCTTGAGTGAGCAGACACGGTGGTGCCTATGGTGAGCAAATAACGCATTTGTTTGCCATGGCGGTACATTTGAAATATTTACTGCCCGTTTTCCCTCGCAAAATAAAAAAAATTATCGCTATATATAGGAAAATTTAGATAATTTGTGTAGCCGTGATATAAAAAAATCGTTGTACTGTACTGTATAAAGTTGCGATAAATCCTGACCCTACTGTACTGTACACAGTTAAAGATTATTTATATCAGTACAGTAGGCTATAAAATTTGGGAGAATGCAATGCGTGCTGTTTAATTTTTAAGAATTATCTGATGAGGGTTGCATTCTCTTGGACCCCATTCCCTCATCCACAGTTTGCCTTTTTCAGCCATATTAAATTTATTCCTTACTACTTTATTTTTAAATATATAATGAAAATCCAACAGAGCGCCGACTTTTAAAGTGTATGTGGTTGTGGCAGAAACACTTGATAACTTCTGCATGCCACTTTTTATTGATGGTTGTCACTTAGAATAAACTTTTTTCCTTCAGAATATTCATAGCAGCTTTTATGGCATGTTTCCTAATTTTAGCTTGTGCTTTTTAAATAATTGTGTACAGTACAGTTATTAGCATAATTTTACCAATCAATTTAAAAACCCATCCTGTAAAGATTAATGTACAGTACAGGTAGTCCCCGACTTACAACGGGGTTAGGGACCGAAATCCAGGTCGTAAGTCCGACATAGATAAGAAAAGAATTTCAAAATGTTTTTTTTTTCAAAAGTTTTTTTTTTTTTCAATTTTTTTTTTACAATAAAATACAGTATGTACAGTAAAAGTAATAAATAATGAGGAATGGATACAGTGTGACTGAGCACTTACCTTTAATGTAGTCAGCTGAATGCACACGGAGCCTCAATAATTTTCTAATTATACATGGAAACTACATTAACTGGAAGAAGCAGAGGAGGAGATTGGGCTGGGTGGGTCATCAATGTTGCTTTCTTCAGACAGGTTTCTGTACGGTGGAAACTTGCTGGTTGAAGGTATTGGATCATCTTGAGGGAGTGAAGAGGCAGCACTGCTGGGGCGTGAGGAGACAGCACTGGGGACTTCTTGAAATAGATGTCCAATTTAGACTGCACAGTTTGCTTTTTCTTTTCATTTTAAATTTCTCTAGCAAGCAAGTGCATCTTGGATCATTCTGTCAACTTTGGCCTAACGCTCATAATTTTGATCCATGCCATCAAACATTTGCATCCCTTTATTAATTGTAGCAAATGCCTCTGCCATTTGCTTCACTGAAAACTATTTTTTGGGGGGTCCAGGTCCTTCTTCTACATTTAGACTGGCTTCTTCCTCTGCATCTTTGTGTGCTTTCAGTTCGATGAGATCTTCGTTACTGAGCTCTTCTTTTAAACTTTCAACCAACTGTTCAACATCTTCATTATCAATTTCTAACTGAAGCTGTTTACCTAACTCCACTATCTTGTTACGTACTAATATCCAAAAATAACTTCATTTTCATTAAATCCTCTAAAACTGCACGTGTCATTTAAAAAAACATAAAAATTTGGTCACGACTGCTGCGGTCATATGTCCTGACGGTCGAAAGGTCAGAGCAGGTCGTAAGTGTGGATGGACGTAAGTTGAGTCAGTCGTAAGTCGGGGACTACCTGTACTGTATTGGGGACTGTTTGATAATTTGGATTGTTAGAATCATTTTGTGCTTGGCATGGATAATTTGGGTTATGTATGTATTGTACTGTATTTTGACACTTATTTACCCCAGCAGTGAAGATGGCCTAAACTGCATTTACATTCACAATAAAGTAATTTGATCCTTATATTTTCCTACTGTAAGGTTGCTGTGACATTATTTGCCAGGCAGCCACCAATATGCACTTTGTCTTGTACTGCCAATCAACATCATGATGCAACTTATCACTGTGTTAATGAGACATGCACATCTCCCTCACTATTAAAGTGTTTTCATTTTTGTCACACTTGTGTTACCTGTGTTTACCGTGTTCCATGTGTTTTTGCTCCCTGTTATCACTTCTTTATTGAAATGCTGTATATGTGTATTTTATTTTGAATAAGAACATCCAAAGTTTTGTGGTGGTAAAGTGAGTGAGGAAACATAGTGCTGTGTACTGTACTGTACATATGACTGATTGGTAGAGAATTAAGTTGTGATGGATTAGTCTGCACCTGAATCTCACAATAGCAGATTGATATTGAAACAAGATTATGGACTATAGCTTTGGTGCAAAGTGTGTGCTGATTGGACAAATATGGCTGTTATGGATTCCTGTTTCAAAAGGGCAGCCTTTGGATCTGACCATGCTTTCAGTATTTGGGAGACATGAGTGTGGTGGGCAGGGCAGATGTTGAAAGGTGTACTGAAAATAAGTTAGCGTTTCATCTTTTGCTTTCATTATGGGAATGATACGAATCCTCTGATCCCCCAGTAAGCAGCTTGTAATAGGATTTCAGTATCAAATCTATTAACGAAGTAGTGACAGTCTCGGAAAAAATTTAAAGCTTGAATTCAAATTGAATTGAAACAGTATCACTCTTATTGAGATTGTTATTAAAACAGACAAAGTGAAATATTTTAAGTAAATAGGTGAAGCTGAGATATTTATTGTTATTTCAGGACTGGTCAAGTGATGGTGAGTGTAGTGATGATGAAGACACCAAGGCTTTCCAGCAACAGGCACACACAGCTAAGAATTTACATTCAAGCAACTTAAGGACCGAGCCTTCCCTTAAACAGCCCACCACGCGAGAACTCTTAGAACAGGTTCACCGAGCAAAGTCCTGGTTGTCGGCTAAAACACATATACAATACTGGGGGTCAAAACGGCCACACCAGTTACCCTTGTCTGATCATCCATCTGCCAATGTAGCAAAACTGTGGTAAGTTGCAGTTATTTTATGTATTCTACAGATAATTATTATCTTAAAATGTGGATTGTTGTGGTAACATAAAATTTCCTATTGCAGTACTTAAAATTTGTGTATTGATAGTGCGATGGGTAGCATTTCTTTGCTTTTTTTTTTTGAAGAAGTGTATGGTAGCAATAACAAAAACCTTTCATGCTGCTTTTTTGTATACAAAATGATAGTGTAATGGTGAGAGTAAATACAGTAGAGTCATGAACAATGACTAACTTAAAATTGCAGTGTTAAGAAGTACTGTAATAGAGAAATTAACTAGAAAAATGGTTGCATGTATGGTGCAGGATTCACTGATCACTGATATTAACAGGAGTGTGCATAAAAGTTTTATGGAAAATTTGATATTTACCTTGATAATTTGTACATCAGACTCATTATGATAATTCTTAAAAGCTCTTTTCTCCTGCTGGTTTAGGGTGACTGGAATCAAGCATAACACAATTTCTCCCATGGGCTATTGTGTATGTAATTTCTGGTCTTAGTGATAACCTAAACCTTAAAAGACATTGGATGAACTTGCATTGTTTTTCATCTTAACTCCTCAGTGTACACTCATGTTCTTAAATTTATCTTTCTTACTCTTAGGGAGACTGAACGAGGTTTGAGAGGATTGTGTCAACACCTGAGTGAGTGGGCAGTCATGAGGGAGGTCTTGTGGGTCTTCCTGTGCCCTGTTCCTGCTCATATTTTCATTCTAAACTCAAAAGGCTCATTCATCTTGAAGTCCAATGTCACAATTGCAAGTTTAACTCCAGTAAGTAAAAACTGGAACTTGACAGATGTGCTTTTTGAATTATTTTACCCAACATTTCTAGTAAATTATAGATTGATCCAAATCTTTGCAACTTTATTTTGGTATTGTACTATTACCGGTAGTATTATTTTCATATAATTGGTTATTTTAATAATTTTTATAATTTATTTCCATTTAATCTTTTCAAGCCTTAGGACCACCTTGTTGAGGCCATTTCAAATCTTTAGGTTACATGCTCAATTAATATATATCTTTTTATGATGATAATATATGAATAGCTTATTCATTCATGCAATGCGTAATACAGTACTGTACTGGTATCTGAAGTTATGCATGAACAGTCATAAATTCTACTTTTTGAGGTAATTTTGCTGTTTCGTAGATGATGTTTGCAGTACAAGCATTGATTTCGAGTCAACCACCCCTGTTACTTTTATTTATTTTATTTTAATTATTTTCCACTGTACTGTATTATGTTTTCTTTATAATTTATTTTAGGGTGCCACATCAAGCTTACTGGAACATCTGTGTGAACCTCTAAATCAGTTAAGGATCTTAGATGCCTTCATGCACAAGTGCGAGTTCCCAAGTGTGGACCCTCCTACACCGGCCACCATCTTGGCATATGCAGCTGGCTTGCGACTTTGGAGACACCGCTTCCAGTCATATCTAGTTGCTTTGGAAGACTGCATCAAGAAACAAGGCCGGTTGATAATAATCCAATAGTCTTTCATCTCTTTTAATTAAGTTTAATATAGATTTATTTTTTACAGAGTTGGGCATTGCTAACCTGCTGTTACAGTATGTACAGTTAGTTTATATGAAGCAGTGTGGGTTGATGTGGGGTTGAGGACTCGTTTTTTTCTACTGCAGATCACCAGTGAGGATTCATAGGCCATAAAAGAACACATAGAAAAAGAAATGAGAATTGGTTAATAAAAAATACAAAGGTTGGAATATTGAAATACAGTACATACTGGATAACCAATACAAAATAAAAGAGAGAAATGGCAGTAGAAGATGAAGAAATTGGGAAAATCATGATCTTCAATGTTAAATTGAGTTAAAGAATGGTCAGGAAGCAGAGGTATGAGACATGAGTCAGTTAGCAGGGAAAATGGCTTTGTGTGATTATTGGGAAGGAGGTGCTGCTAATGGGTGATGTTGGCTTGTGAAAACCAACAGAGGTAATCTAGATGTATATTTGGGGTTTTGTTGTGGAATGGAATTACCATAGTAGAAGATTTAATACAATAATAAGAATATATGAATGACAACAAAAGAAGGAAGAATATGTGTGTAATTTCTCAAAGATTCTGCTCATCCTGCATGAAGTGGGAAAAAGACATAGTTGTAGAACATTAATTAACCCATTAATGAGCATAGATTTCACAGAAAATCCAAGCCATAAGGTGGCTCGGAGAAGATGGAGAAAATGCAATTTGCAGCTGCTCTATTGTAGTACATAAATTTTCATAATGACTGTTTGAGGAAGTAACCCCAGAAACATCACATTTTTAGTCTTTCCATTTCACAGAATGTACATGTACTTTGCTCTGGCTGGAGGGAGAGTTGCGTCCTTGGCTCCGCACGTTGGCTACCATCTTCGCCATGCACTCAATAGCTTTTAGTACCACCACAAAAAAAAATCCTAAATATACTGCAATAAGGTTAGTTTTTCTTTTATAACCCTTTCCCTTCTGTAACACGAGGTAGCTGAAATAAAAAACACTTTACCTTCATTTAGTCTCCCTTAATTAATTATCTTTTATTCATTCTTAATGGTAAAATAGAAGAATTTTGCTTATGTACTTCTTGAAACTCTGAAAATTATATTCTACTTACATATTAATATTTTGTTAATATTTACAGGGTGTTGGGTACTCTGTGTGAGGGTGTGGAGGGTACAAGTGAGGCAGGTATACGGGGGGTGCTCTTACGTCTGCTGCTTCACAGTCTTCGCCATTACTTGAGCATCATCCACAGCTGGCTCCTCCATGGCACGCTTGTTGACCACGCTCAAGAGTTCATCATTCAAAGGTGGGTATATATTTATAGCATATGAATGGATGGTCAATTGAATCTTCTTTTTGATCAGTTTGTAAAGAGTGAATAGAATTGTCATAGACTGTGTGTAGTCAGTGTAATTTTTCTTGCAAGTAATTAATATTCATTGCCGACTGTAAGCTTTTATAGTTGTTCTATTTACTTATATAGGACTGGTTTATCTACAAAAATATTTTTATTTTCTATACTCTAAAACAGGGATGAATCTGTAAAGGCACACAATGAAAGATTTTGGCGTGGAGCTTTTACTATTAGTCTCGAGGAGGATGATCAGAATTGTGATACACAGGACCCCATGTGAGTATTAGTATGTATTGAATATTTGAATTCAGTAATTGCTGTAATTTAAGTGGTCTGTAGAGAATCTGGGACAGTGGAGTTTCAACTGTAATAGAAAAATTTATAAGTACAGTAATTAGTTCACAGGAACCAGTCATCACTCAAGAAACATGATGAACAAGTTCAAATCATTTTAATTTCAGCTGTTGTTGATGTTGACAGTTGCTCAGTAGCCCAACTGACTTTCCTAATTGGTAGCATAATATGTTATTCCTGTCAAGGTAATGACAGTGTATTTGCATCTCTCCCTTGCCACAATAGGTGATTTCACTTTTTTTAAACAGGGTGTCATATACTACTCATCATTGCTTTAAGTTTTATACACCCACAGTTTTGCAGGGTATTTTAAGTCAAAGTCAATCAGTCTGATGAATATTTAGTTTCTAAACAATAACTAGTTTTCTTTCTTCACTACAGATTATTCGATATTGTTCTTCATAGGAAACTACAGGTCAACCTCTTTTTTTTCAAATTCTAGTTTTTATGATTCCAGGGTTGCGGGCATATCATTTTCCCTTAGGTGGCCTGTTTTTCCTTTTGTTTTAATTTATTTATCAACTGATCTATTTGTGCTTACAGGAAAACCATCTTGAAATTCCTTTCACCTCTGGTGGCTGCTCTTACAACAGTTGGCAAGTCAAGAGAACTGCTGGCTATTCTAGATGTTCAGCCTCTATCCAATTCCTCTATCACATGTAGTCTGTCACAGCTGAAGGCAGAAATTGATCAAGGTACATTTTTTTTTATGGGATTAGCCCACCAGAGCACAGGTCAAAGACCCACATCAGGGCCTGGGGGTGAAAACAACAATAATAATAATAATAATAATATTATTATTATTATTATTATTATTATTATTATTATTATTAATATTATTATTATTACAGTATTATTATTATTATTATTATTATTATTATTATTATTATTATTATTATTAATTATTGATTATAATAATAATAATAAATAAATACAAAAATTTAAAAAAGATCAAAAGTGAGAAATGATGTATGTTGTGTTGTCAAAGTAAGAGAAACAATTGAGACTGCAATTGTGTATGAATGAGGCAGGAAGTCAGATCAGCAACCTAGGACTTGGTCACAATTTTTGTGATGCCATATGGCAGCAGGGTCTACCAACACATTATGCTTCCAATATTTTCCCAGGCGATAGTACCTCCCTGTTTGATAGCTACCTACTACCTACTGGGTATCATGGATTTTCTTTTCCAGGTTAAAGTTGTTTAGTTTGTTATGATATAATTTGCTAGAATAACCTTGCAGTACGGATGAACTGGAACCTGATGAAGCTTTTAATGTTCCAGCCAGAACCGGAACTTAGGGTGTTATAGTTCAATGGAGAAAATATATACAGCATCAGATTCTCCGGTTTTGTGTTTTCTGTTTATTTCTCAGTGAGCATCAGAAATTTATCATCATTATATATAATTATGCATATTTTGATTTTGATTTTCTATATATCAAATACATCAGGTATCATATCAGTACAATAAATATGATTTAAGATGTAATAATTTGTTGATACACATACTGTACTGTTCATTAACCATTCAGTAATTTTTTATGCTGCATTATCCATTAGAAATAAGAAGCATTAACAGTGAATTATGTTTTAATCTATGAAAGAGTAACCATTACCACCATGAAAAGTTTCGGTTCTGGCTGGAACCGGTTCTTCATAAAAATCAAGGTTCTGGGTGGAAATAACGAGCTGGAACTAACTTTCGGTGCATCCCTACCCTGCAGGAAGTTATTTGATTTTGAGAAAAATTATCAGTAACATGGATAGCCTTATCCTTCCATCTGTAAATAACATACAGTTTATTGCTATAGAATAGTGTAGCATTCTTTTTATGTGATTATCCTTTATCTGCCAATAGAACAGTCTTTGGAAGAAGTTGTAGTAAAATACATAAAGAAGACTGTGTGTGAGACCCGTGGTGGCAGTAAAGTGGAAGATGAGAAAGATGGTGATGAAAGTGAGGAAGAGGCAGATAGTGTCCTTGAGGTTAGCAATTATCTAACACCAGGATGGGAACAAGAAGATCCCCTTCTTTTGGCTGCCTTCACTGATACCTTCCAAGAGTCACTTCAGAATACCTCTTCTGTAGCCATGGATTCTATTACTAGGTGTGTATTCCTCCAAAGTTGTCATTTTCAGCATCATAATTTCATTAAATTTATAAATATTAAAAACATGAAATTAATTTGCATTATTGTGATTATTAATGCAGTGACTAGCCTTATATGTGAAGAGTTTTCCTTCTACCTCTCAGGCTTAAATACCAGTACCTATACTGTACTCATAGATTTACAATGAAATCATCACTAACAGCCAGATTCTATTTATTGTGTATGTGCTTCCTCAACTTTTAAGTGGATTTTTTTAAGAATAAGTATACATGAGCTATTGAGTTGTAAAAATGAGAATAGGCCTACCAGTAATTTATAACATTGTTGAGACAGCACTATAAAATCTTTATTGTCCTCCATACACAGTTTGATTGAGGACATTGGTGATGTTCCTCAAGCAGTATCAGTTGTATCTCTTCTGACATCTGCACTTCGTCCTTTGGTCAAGAGTAAAGAAGACGAGCTGAGTGCCAGGCTCACTTGTGTACTGATAGAAGAATACCATTTAGATCGCCACTGCCAGGCTGTCCGATCTGTACTACTTATGGAAGCTGGTGACATCATGCATGAATTTTACACACATTTGTTTTCCAAGGTAATATTAATAATAATAGCTCGGCTTTTGTTTCTTAGCAAAATAACATTCCCATACTACTCTAGGCTCCTCAAGGCATGAAGGATAATCACTACTATGTAAAATCATTTCGGAATGTGTAGTCAGAAGAATTAGTAGGTTGGCCAAATACTTAGCCTCACCAAACATTAGTGTCTTAAAAGTCATTAGACAGAGTTTGAACTCCATTCTAGCTTTAATTGGAAGCCAATGTAATTCGATGTAGAATGGGGTAATGGGAGTCCTCGGTGGGAGAGCAAATATAAGCCTGTCAACCCTGTTGAACATTGTTTCTTCAGTAGATAATTAGGTAGGTAGATCCATAAAGAGTTAAAATAGTCAACCTGAGACAAAATTAGTGTCACAAGACACTGTCTATCCAAACTGTTTAACAGATTTTGAATATAAAAGTTGCAACTCTTAACTACTGAAGTTATATGCTCTTTAAAATCCAGTTTTGAGTCAAAGTACACTTCGAGATTATGAACAAGATCGACGGGATGGAGTTGTACGTCCCCAAAGTTTAAAAGAGCCCAAATCAACTGTGCTGTCTCCTCTCCTATTTCCTTGGATGACGATGATCTCGGTTTTTCCGTCATTCAGCTTAAGTTTTCTCCTAGCCATCCAAATCTTAATAAAGGACATCAAGGATTGCATTATCTCCGCAATACCCTCGACATTTATTATTTTCACATAAAGCTATGTATCACTGGCATGGAAATGGTAGGCAACACCATAAGCATCTAGCAGAGATGCAAGACTACTGGTACGGTTATAGACTATTCTGGTCAATACAGTATTTCTATGGTTCCTGAAGGAAGGTAATTGTTTTGCTGTAAGAATGGGGTCTTGGGACATTAAAACTAAAATTAACTCCTTATTTCCTGGGCACATTATCAAAGCTGCTGGCATGAAGAAAAAATCATGGTTGCCATGTTTCTGACAAATTTGTTTAAAATCAGTTTTACCGTAGCATTTGCATTTAGAATATCTTATGAATACAGTGATTTTGCATATTTATTATTTTGAAGTGAGTGTTGTATTGGTATTAACTTAAATATTTTTCTGGTATGTACATATGTGTACGAGTATACTGTATATATAATTTACGTGTCAATTGTTTCATACTTTAAAACAAGTTTATCTTTATAAGGAATTTACAGTTACTTCAGACATGATAAATGTTTTATATTATTTATGCATCAATGAATAGTTTTAGAGGTACCGGTAATAGTTGACAGTCAGGTAGAATAGAATAGAAAGTTTATCACAGGCTAATTTAGAATGGATGTTTATTTTGCTAGTTATTACACATATAGGGCTACTCATTCATATTACAGTATATATACAATACAGTATTACCATTCTTATTTAATTTTCAGTTGGAGAGCGGTGAGAGTGTTGACGGCATCAGCCTGACTCTCCATCTGCAATACTGCATTGCTCGTCTTTACCCAGACCTTGCACAGTTTTTCTCTGTATCTCTTGCACAACAAGCATATTCAGTTGAAGCAGCAAAATGGGAAGATTACACCAAGGACAGTGAAGATGATCTGGAACTAGATGCTGACAAGAACGATGGAATGCTGGTTATTGATAAGATTACAGGGTCTGGTAGGAAGGCACTGAGGGGAGACCATGTAAAAGAGTATTCTTCAAAGAAGGCTTGTGAGACACCATCAAACATGGCACTCTCAAGAACTGGTTTGCCAGATATCAGCATACAGTATCAGGTATTGTACAGTACTGTATATAGAATAGATTAATACAAATACGGTTGACAACCCTTTATCCGAAATTCCAAAAACCGAAAAGCTCTAAAAACCGAAAGTTTTTCAATGGGTAATTTTTATTTATTTTTTTCTTAACAGGGATTAGCCCACCCGGGCATAGATCACTGACCCACATCAGGGCCTGGGGGGCGAAAATGTAATAGTAATAGTAATTATAATAATTATTCATCGTAAATAAAAATTGTAATAAAAAATACACCAAAATAAAATAATAATGATACTGTAACAATAATAATAATAACAATAATAAAATATATAATAAAATTAATAATAATAACAATAATACTGTAATAATAAAATAATAATAATAATAATAATAATAATAAAGAAATACAAGAATGAAAAAAAAGATCAAGTGAGAAACACGACCTAGCTCTATGAATTGTTATTATTATTATAATTGTTATTATATGTTCGCCACCCAGGCCCCAGTGTGGATCAGTGACTTGTGGCCGGGTAAGCTAAAAAAAAAAAAAAATTCTGAAAACCGAAGAATTCCGAAATCCGAAATGCCTCTGGCCCCAAGGATTTCGGATAAGGGATTGTCAACTTGTATTTTCTTTATTAATTCATTAATGCCTGCTTACATTGTAATATCCCACAATTGCAGAATGGATGTTGTGTTGATTTTATTCATGTTTTTTTTTCTATATGGGAAATGTGTAAATGTATGTGGCTAAATTATTTCTCAATTGTATTTCCAGAGAAATTATTGAAAAGTCATACAATTCCAGTGACCCAGATGTCATTTTGTGTAGAATAATAGGCATAGATACTACACATTTTTGGAATGCCTTATACCATCCCCCCAAAATCATGGAGCTAGTTTGAATTGTAAGAATTGTAGTACTTATGATATTTTAAAGGCAACGGAGGAGGATGGGGATGTAGGGTTACCTTTGCCAGTCTCAATATGTTTCTGTTTGATTGTTTGAGAAATTCTTTGCATATCAAAGTAAAATATGGTATGCTGCTTCATATTATGGATATCCAAGCTGAGTCTGATAAACATGTTTTGTAATTTTGCATAATGGAGTTATGGTCCTGGTTTGATATATGAAGATATATAAATTTTGGCAGGGACTTACAATACTAACAGTAGTAGTGTGATTGTATTGCCTTTTATCTTAGTTGGACTATCCCTGAAACTTAGATAATAATCAAGCAAGCATAAATTAATCTCAATCTCATACAAATTTTGTTCATCATAAATGTTTAGAAATTATTACAAGCCTAAGATTGAATAGATTAGGCTTCTGTTCAGTTGGTCAGACTTAAGTTGAATAGATAGACATTGACTAAATATGATAGATTTTGGTTTAGGTTCAATTGATTAGACTTATATTGAATAGATTATACTTTGGTTGTGTAGAATAGGTAGGTATAGGGTGCATTAATTATAAAGAGTATTGTGAAGATCAAGTACTGTGTGGCCAATAGTAGGACATGAGATTTTTCTCTATATTCAATCCATGTAAAAAAGCATGGCTTGAGATTTATAATGAAGGAAATTCACCTTGTAAAGCAGCTAAAAGAATGAATCAAAGCATGTAAAGGACAAACTACTGGGTATGTTGCTCTTGATTCCAGTCCCTGCATCCTAGTGGGGAAGAGAACCTTCCAAGATTTAAAACAAAACATGGATCACCTGCAGCTTAATTCATCTTAATTTTGGGGCTTGGTTAGGTTTGAATTAGTGTGGTTAATCTTCAGGTGATACAGATTTTGACTTCAGTATTTAGTTGATTATTTTTTCTTTTCAGGCACCATGGCCAGCTAACTTGTTGCTGACTGAATCAATTATGAGACAATTCAACATGCTGTTCCACTTTAGTCTGAGTCTCAAGAGAGCAACTAATGGCCTTGAGAGGTTGAAGTTTAGAGGTTTGTTTACAACTTGTCTGTACTAACGAAATTGTTGTTTAGACATGATCATAGATCCCAGATTTTTATTCTTATGGCTTCATAGTTGATAGAGTGGATGTACTGAATATTAATGAGAATTAGTAGACACTACATTATTGGCTATTTTTCAGATCTGGCCAGCTTTCAGACAATTACCAGCACAGCAAGGACCACAGGGGAAACTACTGTGCCACTACGGTCTCGACTACACCGATTACAGTTGCTTCGGCAGTGGTTGTTATGTTTCTCTCGGGAGCTACATGACCACTTTGCCAACACTGTGTTTCTTCCTTACCACCAAGCTGTAGAAAAATTATTTTCATCTCGGCCATCCCTTAATACCATAATAACTGGTCAGTGAAGAATGATGTTTGTGAGGATATAATTGATAGTAGGAGTCTTCCTGTCTTCACTTGAATCATTGCTAAAAGCTGCATCTTTAGGAAATCTTTCTTATATCATTCACTAGTGTTTGCATTTTCCTTCACTCTACATCATTATAATTTTTTTGACAGTTTTATATTAGACTTCACCCTGGATAACTCAGAGGTGGATGGTAGGAGGGAGAGCAGAACATTACACACTAGAAGTAAAAGGGATGGAGATCTGGGAAGCAGTGGTATGTATGTGTGATTTTGTGGGAAGAAGGTGCCTCTGATGAGTGATGCAACCAGTATGTATGTTTTTAATTTATTTATATATTGTTATTTTTTTTACAGAGCATGAGAAGATGGTGAATAAACTAATCACTGACTGTCTGATGGGCAACAGTGAGGAAATACTTCCCCTACAAATAGTTTTGAATAAGGTTTGTTGAATGCTGTGAAAAAATCTTGAGCACAGTATTGACTGCTTTACCTTTGTTTCAGCTTCAGCAGTTAAGCATTATCTTGAATGACCTCTTTAGTAACTCAGGTGGTAGAACTTTTTTCTGACTGTGTTACTCTGTACTTGGGAACAATCTTCACCAAGTTAAAGGAGGTTAAAGAATGAGAACATATGATGTTTTATTTTTTGTGTTTGTGTCTGCGTGCCTGTCCTAAATTATTGAACCTTATAGCTGGAACAACTAGTGATGTATTTTATCCAAATTTGTTGTGTGGATATATCACAATATGATCTTAAACAAGTTTAATAATAAACATTTTGTCTTCATTGTCCAGATTTATAGTTCTTTGGGCTGTGTTGTGGTCCACTGGGGGACTTCTCTGCCTTAGTAGCAACTTCAGTTTTCCTTAGACATGCTAGTCTTCTTTTCATCCCAGAGAAGTATTACTGTAAACACCAATAGAACAGACACTTTTCCAGTTTTTATGGAACACTGTTCTTAAATTTTGATTGTGTAGTTACTGGTAACATATGTAATTCTTTTATTTCCTATTGGAGTTATTATTTAGTACTCATTACTGTGTTAAGAGTGCAGCGGTCAAGTGGATAAAGTTGGTGGTTTAATCACCAGGCACTTCCAGTTCACCCAGCTGTAAATGGGTCCCTAAATTTACAACTTGGGGAAGTGAATGCAGTCGAAAGCAGTACTTGCCATGCTGCTTCTTTGTGTACTGAAGGCTTAGTTACAGTGTACAGTATCCACACTGTCTCTACTGGGTAGTTATGCCTATGGGGTCCACGTTCACTTTCCACTGTGTTAACATATACATAACTTTCATTTGAAGTTTATTTCACTCTTATCTGTGAATCACAGTTTTAACTATTTATCCATTATTTTTCAGGTATTTTGGTTAACTCAGCGTTTAGGGCAGTTATGGTTGCGAGACATAGGTCAAGTAAGCAGTGATGAACTGACGAGTTTAGAAACTAAGTATGCAAAAGTGCACAGGTACCTTGTAAACGTCCTCACCACACTCGTCACCATACGCTTTGTGCCACACAGTAAGTACATATTGGAATACTATGCTAGACTTAGATTTACCATTACAGAAAAAATATTTGTCTCTTGAAAGTAAACGTTTTAACTTTTTTTTGAGAAATTACAGGTACACCACTGATTTTCCAGGAACTGATGGTCCGGCACCTCCTTTAGTCCGTACAAAATTATGATTGGGCACTTAACCTCCCTCCCTCCCTCCCAGCCAGGGTGAAGGTAGTTTTAGGCTTAAATTTTTATCATATAAAATGTCACAGACTAGACTTAGCAGAATATAACTTGCATTGCTGGAATCCTTGTATTTCTGGAATCCCTGTAAGATAGTGATTAATTTGAGTATAAACATCACATAGTTTGCACAAGAGATAAAATTTTTAGTTTTTTAGTGTAGTACATTTGAGTACAAAGTGTGTACAGTAATATGTTGCTCAAAATTAATGCTTTTTCACATTTAATTTGCATTTAACATTTGTTTAATTTAAGTTTTTAGCAGTCCATGGTGCTTTAGAGGCATGGTGTGTGTATAATTAGTGGGCCACAGGTGTATTGTTGAGTTATTATTACCTGACCTCGGTTGGTTCAGCAAAACGGATTATGCGGTTAGGCTTTGGAGCCAAGCGTGGCGGAAAATCGGTGGTGTACCTGTATAATGTTTGCCCTGATCACAGTCAATATTTATTCTGTTTATTATATAAAAGTGTAAAGTTGAAAAATACTTGTAAGTCTAAACCTTACTCTTTTAGAAAACAAGTACAGTAGTGCCCCGATTTACGCGGTCAATTGAACCCACAGGGCACCGCGGAAAGTGAAATCCGCGTAAATGGAACAACAGAACATATGGGATTAATTCCAAAAGAGACTGGCCCGACCCCCAAACTCCACTTTTTGACGACACACAACTATGTTGTAGTAAAAATTTTATCTTAACTTTATGATGGTATGCACAAACAAGTAATATAGAAGAGGTTAGGTTAGGAAAAATAAAGGTTAAGTAAGGAAAAATAAAGGTTAGGTTAGGAAAACTAAAAGTTAGGTGTAACACTTACGTTAGTAGAAGAGATGGGTCGGCATACAGGGATGGAGGCTGGTTCCGAGGCAGAGGGCAGATTACTGGCCCTCAGGTGAATCACCATTACTAGGTGCATCACCATCACTATCAGTTACAGTTGTCAGGGCTTCCCTGACAAATCCCTCAAAGTCACCTTCACTGTCACTATCACTATCACAGAACAATGGATGCACGTATACGCGGTGTGGCCTGGGGGGATGAAACTGCCGCGGCTAGGTCAAGTTTCGTCTTTCCTCCCTCCCTCCCTCCCTCCCTCCCTCCCTCCCCGGGTGGACACGTCATATTACTTTAAACCAATTACAGCTAGCAGCAGAGGGGGGGTAGGGATGCATGGCCAATCACAGTCCAATACGTCATATGACGTCAGTGATAACGCAACAGAGACATGCACTGCGCAACCTTACCGCGCGGCTTGCCCAGGCGGGTGGGGCGAATCTAAAAATAGCATCGAGCCGGACACTCTGCGCTTATATGGGTAGATGAACCGCGGAAAGTGAAAGTTCGGTTCTGGCGAGGCACCGCGTATATGAGAAATCGCGTAAAGTGAAACCGCGTAAAGCGGGGTAATACTGTAGCTGTTTCTTAACTTTCCACCTGTTATGCCAGAAAGCAGGACAAAAGCTAACTTTTATTAATGTTTTCATGGAGAGTGGCAACTAGCTGTCAAATTATAGGCTTCCAGTCATTTTAGGCATTATTATTCCCAAATGAATTTTGTTTTTGGAATTCCTTTGTATAAAAGATAGATTCTTAAATTTTTTAAATTCTATATAGGCAACAAATTCATGGATTTGCAGTGAGTAAACTGTTTATATAGGAATAATGGCTCTTTTTCCTTTACAGTGGAAGGACTGACTCGAACACTGGTCGACACAGTACCCCTTCTCACCCAGCAGTAGGACAGACTGCATTTAGCGCTTAAGTTTAGTGTGTCTAGCCTAAAATATGTGACTAGCATTAGAGAAAAGTGTAAATTTATAGGTAACACTTTGTTTTCTAATTGGATTCTACTTTTCTACTTCCCAAAAGGAATATGTCTAACCTCACTCCCCTGTGAGGTCCAGTCACAACTTAAGCATCATCGTTGTTTCATGGTCACTTTCCATGCCTACAGTTCAACAGAACTGGATTTTACTGAGTATACAGGGGTTTCCCCATACATGGCATAGCATTCATTGAGTTGGATGGGCCTTCCAGTAACTTTGAAAGGCTTTTAATAAAACTTACATAATCTTTGTTAACTGAACTCATGGGGAAATTTAGATTTTTCTCCTTTCCTTATGTAATTTTTATTAACTAAGGGAGGTAGTGTCACATAATTTAATGTACAGTATATCAATAGTATCAACATACTGTACTTGTACAGTAATCCCTGATTATTCGTGTATTATGTATCCATGTCTTTGACAATTTGCGGAAGGCAATAAAATGTTAAATATTAAAACTGAACAGTAATTTGAAATGTCTGCAAGCTGACGACATGCCTACTCATGCTACCATCTATTTAGGGTAGAGCAATTTATGTTTTCATCAGCTGATCAACTTCCTTTGTTTGATAAGTATTTTTAAATCTTTAATAACTTAATTAACACTCCCATGTGCACTGACTTGTACTTCTTATGAGTAATGAAAAGTTGACCATATTAATTACCAGGTCACAAAAATTTATATTAAGTAACCTCTAGCTTTCGATCTTTCCTTCTTCGTTTTGATGAGAGGAAGAAGAAGAATAAGAATAAAGAATAAAAAGGTTTTGATGAGAGGAAGAAGAAGAATAAGGTTTTGATGAGAGGAAGGTTTTAGGGGTAACTATTATATTTCATCATAGAAAACGGTTTAGGGGTAACTATTATATTTCATCATAGAAAACGGTTTAGGGGGTAACTATTATATTTCATCATAGAAAACGGTTTAGGGGTAACTATTATATTTGAACACAGAAAATTTAGAGGGTTTTAGGGGTGACTATTATATTTAATCACACTGTGACGGGATAATTATAATATTCATCCAGATAATTAGTTTGCATGAATGTTTATTCTTTCTGCTAATACAAATAATTAGTAAATATAAAATAGAGTATGGTGTTAAAAGCTTATTTGATTATTCATGTAATGAATGAAGTAATTACATAAGTTCATGCTACTCGTTAAAACTGATGACATCCACAATGATATAAGTAACATAGGCTTCAGGGGGTAGGGTTGGAGAGAGGGGCGAAAAAAATCACCCCTCCAATTTTGTTCCTTCCTCTAGCTTTCGATCTTTCTTTCTTTCTTCGTTTTGATGTTACTACTGCCTTAACCCTTTAGGTGCGTAATTAAATTTCGCGCCGGTTCCTGAAAAGTGTCAATTATCCTGCCAAAAATAATTTCATATAATCACATTTTCTATATGTTTTTCCTAGAGAACTTTTAGTATATTTTCCAAATCTGGAACAAAAATTCACATATGTGTGCAAATTTTAGAGAAAAAATGACATTTATACCCAAAAATGCAGGAAATTGGTATAAATCAATGTCTGGTATATGGCAAATAAATTATATCAATTTGGTTACTAAACAGCAAATTTAGATATGTATTACATATTCAGATAATATCAAACAAAATAGTACAAAAATAAGCTATATTGCATTCAAGAAATACTCCTATACCTCAATACATAATATGTCCGCATGTCGTCTCATTTGGGGAAGTTTTTTCAAGGCCGTGGGATATCCCCGCTTGTCGCATTTAATTAATATAATATTTTGGGCGGGTTTACCCGCATGTCGCATCCAAAGGGTTAAAGGCATGGGAGCATCTACAAGGCCGTGAAGGATGAGACCCAACATTGGAGCTGGTGTCATCCATGCCTTGCAGTTTAATGCTGTCATAGCAACAGGTGGTGCTTACACCAAATACTGACAAAATAAAAGAGACTATCATATCACATTTTCATTTCCTATATTCTGGTATTCATACCTTACACATATTTAGGATGCCATATGATATGCTTATCGATACCATGAGTGATAAGATATTACGTGATGGTACTGATTAACGAAGGTGAAGCTATTTATGGCATTACAAACATATCTATTAAGAGTACGACAGGTGGTGTTGCTACAAATCAACCTATGGTACCCTCATGAATACAGAGCTACCAACATGTGGGCAAACATCATTAAGTTTCAACTAGAAGTGATTTCAATTAATATTAGACTTACAAGTCTATCAACCACAGTCTTATAGATATGAAATGGCTTCACACACTCATCCTGTCACTATATGTAACCTTCAGGCACTCGTGTCCTAAACGGTATGAGTCAAGAAGGCAAGCATGAACTCCGCATGCTTCCCTGTTGACCGCTGTAAATACTTTTGCATTTTGCCTTGACCAGGATGCAAGGGGGTGTCCAATAAACAGGATGCAATGGTGGGCCCAATAAACTAGCCCCCTCAGAGGGCAAATCTGAATCAAGTCTGAGATTCATCAAGCACCTGAGACTGAGACTGGGGAAGGTCATTTAACGAGTACACTGGTGTCAAGATAGGTTTGCCATGGATGCATTTCTGCTGTTCCTCTGTAATACCATCATTGCCTACCAGATGTTGTTGGATGCTGTACCACTTTTCCAGCTTTTCAAGTACATCTTCACTTCTTATTATGCTTGGACTTGAACGAATCATTCTGACTGCTTCTCCCTGTCAAGAATAAACATGCACTGTACTAGAAATAATCTTTTCATGTCTTGTCTATTTACAGAAACTACCACTACTTAGGAGAGATTTATTATTCAGAATAACACAGTACTAATGGTGGGACAACTCATGGCAGTCAGAAAGGTACAGTTGCCTCAAAGAGTTCCTTTACCGCATTCTTATTTTTATAAGGAAGAATAAGGCTTTTACAAATAAAACGTATACTATATGAGGAAATTTGTGTAATTCATGATTATCACACAATGGTTCATATAGTATTGAAACCCCCAGGAATCATATGTTTTTGCATCTCAAACATCACCACATTTTCATTTTTTATTCATTTTCTTTTCCGGGGATAAACCTACCTGGACACAGGTCACCAACCCACAACGATGCCTAGGGGGCGAAAAAATAAGAATAGAAAGAAATTAAAAATCGAAAAGGAAAAGGTTATATTAATCTACACCGGGAAGATGCCGGAAAACCAGCTTTTTAAAGTGAGACAGATTGTATGAGTACGGAAACACAGAAGAGGGCAGAGCATTCCACAGTTTGGCTGTGTGAGGAAAGAAGGATGCACTACAACAGGTTATTCTAGTGTGATCGACATCCACAGAGAAACGGTGGGCACCGCGGGCAAGTCATGTGTCACGAGTGAAGAGTAGAATCATCAGTGTAAGAAAGGATAGAATTAGTTGCAGAGTGAAGTAAATCATTGATGAGGGAAGTTTAGAAAGCAAAGACTCGTGCCATACCCTGTCAAATGCTTTGGAGATGTCGAGGGCCACAACGTAAGTTTCCCCATAATCCCCCAGAGAGGATGACCAAAGATGGGCACAGTAGAAGAGCAGATCACCAGGGGATCTCGCCTGGCGAAAGCCATACTGGTGATCAGACAAAAGAGAATGGCGTTCAAGGTGAAGGAGAAAATGGAAGTTCAAGATAGTTTCGAAAATCTTAGAGAGGGATGAAGTTAGGGCAATGGGGCGATAGTTAGAGGGATTAGAATGGTCACCCTTCTTTGGGATGGGCCGAACCAAGGCATGCTTCCAAGAAGGTAAAGTTTGGGTTTTAAGTCAAAGGCGAAAGAGGCGAGCAAGCACAGGGGCCAGAGTTTCAGCATACTCCCTCAGAACACGAGGGGTATTCCGTCCGGTCCATGCACCTTACTCACATCCAACCTGGATAACACACCAGCAACACTATGAGTGGAGATTATAGGAAAGTGCATAGGTTCAGTAGGAGGAGCAGGGGTAGAGTTGGAATTGTCTACAGTGGAGTTAGAGGAGAATAAGGTGCCAAAGAGATTGACTTTTTCAGGGGGAGAATTGGCTATAGAGTTATCAGGTCAAAAGAGAGAAGGTAAAGAAGGAGTGCAGAAGTTATTACAGATGTTTTTGGTCCAGGAACAGAAGGATTTACTAGAGGAAGAATTAGTCAGGACAGCGATCTTTCTTTTTATAAAATTCCACTTGGCCCTACGAAGAATAGCTTTACAACGATTCCTAGAAGAATGAAAGAAGAGTGGGTAATAGGAGGAGATAGTTTCATAGCTTGATATGCCCTATCTCTCTCCCTGCATGCAAGAGAGCAGGAGAGATTAAACCATAATTGTTAAGTGAAAATTTTGGTATAAGATGAGATAAATGCACTCATACCACCCTGTATAATCCCAACAATGCTGTCAGCACACACTGAGGCATCCCGAGTGGAAAAGCACCATTCATCCCAAGGAAAGTCGGTGAAGAATTCTCGCAAGGATTGCCAGTTTGCACTCCGATATAGCCATAGTCGACGTTTAGAGGGGGGCGGAGGAGGTGGTCGTGCCCAGTTTGATTTAATAGAAATAAGATTGTGATCAGAAGACCCTAATGGGGGGCAGAAATTGAGTATGAATAGTGTGAGGGGTTAGAGGTAAAACAAAGATCAAGAATGTTAGCAAGTTGATCGTGTCAATCAGGAATGTGTGTAGGTGTTTGATAATTTGTTCCAAATCATTAAGTAAGGAAAAATAGAGTGCCTCAGCTCCACCTGGGTCATCCTTGCAGAGCCAAGCCACATTGAAATCCCCTAGGTAGAGGATATCAGTGTTGGGGTGTGTGAATAACGACGACTCATGGCAAGAAGTGAGATAGTCAAAGAGTTCCAAATAGTTAGTAGAGTTGGGAGAACAGTAAAGGAAACAAAGAAAAATAGTCATAGTTGGTAGAGATATTTTGAGCCAGATGACATCATAAACAGAAGATTCAAGATCAGAGAGTTGAGCTTTAGGTGTACGTATGTTGCAGTACGCGCATACAACTCTCTTAGAACGGAAAGAGGTATAAAGGTTGTAGTTGAAGACTTGAAAAGGTTTGGGTGAAGCTGCTTTGGTCAGTTCAAGTTCAGAAAGTAGTAAGAGGTCGAGGGAAGAGGTTAATAGATGGTGCTCCACAGAAGGAAAATTGGATCTCAGGCAACAAATGTTGGAAAAATGAAGTGTGAAAAAAACTGATCCCCCAGCAATCGCGGTGGCGTCAGTGGAGGCCCCAGTAGTTTGATGATGATCAGGTCGGCCCTGGGGTCCACAACCTTCCCGACCAGTGGGACCCATCCGAGAAGGCCCCGCTTCAATATTAATATCAACTGACATAGGAGAATAGAATAGAATGAATAGAACAGATCAAGAATGAGTATGGTTATATTTGTTGTGTTGTCAATAGTGAGAGAGACCCTGCAATTGTGTATAAATGTGGCAGAAAGACAGATCAGCAACCTGGGACTTGGTCACAATTTTCGTGATGCCATATGGTAGCAGGGTCTACCATTAGACAACACATTATGCTTCCAATATCTTCCCAGGCGGTAGTACCTCCCTGTTTGGTAGCTACCTACTACCTACATGGGATAAAGGAACTTGTGAGGCAACTATACATGCTGTGCTGAACACTAAAAATCACAGATGCTTTAAATATACCCATAACTGGCATTCAAACCAATGGTTCATCCACCAAGTATCGTAGGAAAACAATCAGGTTAAGGATATGACCAAGTGTGTGTCGTCTGTCACTTTTACACTTATGTTGAACCAATCTTTCCTACTCTTCTTCATCACACTAAATTAGGAAGTGAAAAAGGTTATGAGACAGATAGACCAGTCACTAAACATTCTGGGCAAACTGCTGATTCTTACCTTTATCCAATATTGGAATTTCAACGGACGTGTTTGTTTGATGGTGGAAGAAGGATGTGTGGCCAATACGGCCAATAGTTCTTTGAGATCATTGATACCATAAAAACCAATTGCATCAGTCATCCCAATAATCTCCCCGTGAGATATCTGGTTGTTGTTACTGGAACCTGCAATATAATAGGACACGAATTATTATAAACAAACGTATTTAACTTTTCAGAATAGAGAAATGGAGGACTGTGAAAGTTAGTTGAAAGTTTGACACTAATACTGTTTTCATCTCTTATCATGTAAAGTTCACATTGTCAATCTTTTCCAAATTAACCCCTAGTGCATCAGTTCCCCTGTGTGCTAAATAAAATTGTCTGGTGTTAACCAAATAAAATATTAAAAATGACATCCCCCAAAGTGAAGTGGTTGAAGAGAATAATCAATTCTTTCCATAACTGTATTACCTTCCTTGTTTTACTGGTCATTTTTTTCTACATCTGAGAATGTTATTTACAGTAATTGGTACACGTGGCAACAGCCAGTCGCCCCCTCCACCTCCAGAATGTTTACATATAAAGTATCATTTCTTGTACTTATTAGTTCTAGTTAGGCCTATATCAAATCTGATTAGGCCACTGTACAGTATCCCCATTAAAGACAATAAGTATATACAGTATTTTAATAATAAAAAAGTTAATATATACAGGTACTCCTCGACTTACGACATATTCGACCTACGACCACCCGAACATACGACCGTCTCAGTCGTACCAAAATTTTGTCAAATTACATATTTTTTTGTCCCACCGTTAGTGATTGCGCTGTGTACTGACAAAATTTTTGTTTGTAATTCACTTTAAAATGGCTGGCAAGCTTAAAAGTGAGAGTTCTGTGGTGCTCAGAAGAAAAAGAGACACCCATATTAGATTTTCTATGTATTATTTAAGCATTTTCGACTTACAACCAATTCGAGGTAGTACACACTTACAATGTTCAATAACTAAAATGACTCAAATCGCTAATTTTGGGGCAAAATAAGCAAAAGCTCACTAAATTAACTCTATAACCTTACCCATGCTAACCATAACTTTCCACATAAGCTATAACTATGGTCACATTTCAACCAATCGTGTAAGCAATAACATCGCATGCGAGACCCATGTAAAATGATACCTCACTGTAAGTACTGCATTGTCTATAAAATTCTGCACTCAAACACCGTCTTAAGTTGACTGGTAATCATTCATAGTTTAAGCCTTCTGCTTAAACTTGACCTTTCAGAGACCTAAGCCCTCCACTATGGGGATGCCACTTTTAATATTTTATTGGACTCATGTCAGATGATTTTCTACACAAGTGGTTACCGGTAATTTTTATATATATATATTTTTTTTTGAGGGGGGGGGCAGGGGTTGTCAGACAATTTTATTCAGCACAGAGGGGATCCCATATACAAGTGGTTAACTTGGTGTTTTGCACTACTACATATATAATGTTTCGTCAATACACTAACAAGCAACTGAGGGAAGTGCTGTAATCGTCCAACAAATGGCACACTGTGTAGTGCGAATGATGGGGGATGGGGACCAAAGGGGGATGGGGCCAGAGGGGGGGGGAAGAGGGGGAGGGCTGAGGGAAGGGACTTTTGTTCACCATAGTACATACCAGTGTAGTATTTAGAGGGCTTAAATAAAGTTTTTTCTATTTCATTTATTTTTGGTCTCTAATTTTTGGTACACTATAATATTAAAGACAGGGCATTAAAGTCAGTTATTCGCAAAATTTTACCTTCGCGGGTGTCCCAAAAATCTATTCCTCATAAATGTCGAGGTACTGTATTAGTGTGTATGAGGTCCTAAACACGAAGTTATGCTCCAGGAAAGGAAAATTTTTAAAATATATATACCTGTACCATAACATTCGTACAGTATTTACAGAGGATTAATAAAGTTTGGCTTGCCAAATTACCTGTAATATTTGTGCTATTTCATTTAGTTGTTTGGTAGATACACTAAAAAAAAAAAAAAAAAAAAAGCCAACTTTGCAGCAGGTAGCTGGCCAGCCGCACAGACTGTGATTGGAAAAATTAACTTTGCTTACTGATGTACATAAGTATTTATGGCACTTTATGCAGCTACTCAATTTTGGTATTTTAAAACATACAAGCATGAAAACAGTATGCTTGAATTTATTATAAATAAAAAAATTCCAAGTGTGTCAAACGCCATAAATATTTGTAAGCAGGGTAATTGGCCACATGTTACCCAGCCACAGAGCTCATCAACTTAGCCAGCCAAGACATTAACACCACCACTCAGCACCCCTGACAAACACACATTTATTGAGTTATACAGTCGGCCCTTAACATACGCGGGTTTAGCATACACGGATTGCCCCGCCGGAGGAATATTCTGTACATTGAAGTAATTGAAGTACATTCAAATCGCGCGCCATTCAACTCGCGCGCGGCACCGAACACGGGACACCGCCTGCTCCCGCAACCTCACACACACACACACGCATAGCTCTCCCTCACTCAAGTCAGTCTCACTGTAACCACGCTTGTGTTGACATCAGCATTGTAGTTGCAAAAATATTACATTTCTGTGAATGTATTATATCAAGCACAGTATGAATAGAATATCACTAATATAAGAGTATTTTAACCGAAAACTACTAAAAAAACGAGATTAGGTTAGGTAAAGTCTTTTGTTTTCGTCATGTATTTTATCCTATTTTACATAGAAATACATCACGTTTCAGCAAAACTACTATTTATTTCTGAGAATATATTCATTCAGGCACAGTTTAGGTAAAATATACATGTGCTGTAACATTTTTTTAATTGAAAACGATTCGAAAAACACGTACCCTCTAGCCCTGTTCAAGGAGAAGACTGGGAGGAGCTGTTTGGTGCTTAAGACGATGACAAGGAAAATGATTTTGATGGATTTTAATGAAAATATTCAGAAAGACCCTGGCACTGTCAAGGAAAGTGGCTGCTGAAGGCTTCCAGGACATGGCAGAGGACGAGATTAGGGAGCTAATTGAAGAGCATGACACTGAGCTGACCGAGGAGGATCTACAGGAGTTAGTAGACTAAGGCAAGGAAGAGGAAGAGGAAGCAAAAGGGAAAGAGGATAAGGAAGAGGAAGAGCACCAAGAAATAATGTTGGAGAAGTTGGGGGAGATGACCAGGAATATTGAGGCACTGAAAAACCTGTCCTATAGTATGGACCCCTCCATGGTGCGTGCCCTGAAATTCATGTGAGGGATGGATGACGTTTTTGCTCCATACAAAAACATCATGGAAGAAATGAAAGAAAGAGACGACAACTCCTCATCACCATGTTCTTTGATCACCGAAGGAGAGATTTAACACCATCAATCACTGGCGGCAGTGAGGAAGCAGCTGAATCCACCGTCGCCCCCACTTCACCACCCGTTATGAAATTCAGTGACGATGAGCCCGATGACCCCCGTCCTGTTGCCGAGGATAGGTACGGTACAGTGAAGTGAAATTTTTATCTCTTTTTTTTAATAGCTTTTCTTGCCATGTTTATTGTTTGTAAAAATGCACAGCACAGTACAGTTCAGTACTGTACATAGGAAGTGGAGGTGCAGTTATTCACAAAACATTTGTGTTTGTTGTTGGCAGTAGTGACGGTGAGGAGGGGGAGGAGGCGGAGGAGGGAGCGAGTTGGGAGGAGTGGTGACCTTGGACGCGGGAGCAGGGACGAGTGGAGATGCCAGCCAGTACATTACGGGTGTATTAATTGTTTTTATAGCTATTTTTGCATTTTAATATTAAATACTGTACATTACGTTTCAACAAAACTACCATTTATTTCCGAGAACATGGAAATGTAATATTTTTGCTGAAATGATGTACGTATTACAGTGGAAAGTGGGATAAAATTGTGACGAAAGCAATGACTCTCTTTCTTTCGTTCAAAAGATGTTGCCGTAATAGCTTTTCGAATGATTTTCAGTTGTGGGATTATAAGGCTAATGATAGGATAGAATATTATTGTAATACAGTACGAGTACAACAGTTTTTTAACTGAAAACCATTCGAAAAGCGATTACGGTAAAATCTTTTGAATAACGGAAGAAAGCGAAAGTCATTGTTTTCGTCATGATTTTATCCCACTTTCCACAGTAATATGTACGTCATTCCAGCAAAAATATTATATTTCCATATTTATTTCTGAGAATACGTATATTCACTCAGTCACAGTTAAGGTAAAATATACTTGTGATGTAATATTTTAATGAAAATACGGTATCGTAGTTTTCTTTTGTTTCAAATTTAATTAACAAAGATTGATGTTTCAAATGTAATGAACAAAAATTTATGTACAGTATCTATAAATACACTTTAATAAATGAATACATTATGTTTTACATCGTCCTGTGCTACCATACCATGGATTTGGCTACTTTGGGCTTGCTATGATGACGCAAGAGATCTGCCCTGGCAACTGTACCAACACTCACAGCTGGTGGTGCGTTGGTGCATCGTTTCCATTGTTTACTGGTAGTTACTGGTTAATATTTTTCAACCTAACGAAACTATTACCCTTTTAGAGGACGACCCCCAATTTTTTGCCATATAATTTGGTCTTAAAAACTCGAACTACACACAGGTATATACGGTAAATAAGGACATGGGGGGCCAGGTTTTTTTTGGGGGGAGGGGGGGCAGCACATATACGTGGATTTTTAACATCCACGGGTATCTCTGTTACGTAACCCCCGCGTATGTTAAGGGCCGACTGTATGCTTGAAAGGTATTATAGTTAGCCACTAAACAAGCAGGAATAGAACGATAGTGTTGGTAATAGACAACCCTTGCATAGAGTTTTGTTAGACGCCCGTTATATAATTTTTTTTCTCCTGCAGGGACTCCAACCATGTTTATGGCTTAACTGTGCAAGTGAACCACGCCCCAAGCACGGTAAAATGATATTCTACTGTATTCCTCATACAAGATGCTTTTCCTTGACTGGTTGGTCATACCACCAGCACTTTCAATTCCAGGTTTTTACATAAATCATGAAATCAGGAGAGAAAAAAAGTGCTGAACACAAGAGAGTTACGACACAAAAGGCAAAAGGAATTTGAAACTGACATAGGCAGGCGCCGGTTGGTGTAGTGTCAACCTGCACAGAACTTATGAATAATATTTTTTATTCTATTCTTACTTATAAACTAAGTACAGTATGTAAAAATTTATGTAAAAAAAAAATACGCCCAAGACAAAGAGCACTATAACAAAACAGCGTTGTAAGAGGCAGCACTATACGAGGTATAACTGTAGAGTACTATAAATATAAAGCATAGAACACCAATAATAACCTTAAACCTACAACTCACCTGGATAGAGAGCTATGTTGAAGCCACTGAACGTAAGTCTGTTATCAACGACTGTGTAAAAATTGTGGTTGGGTACCTGTTCTCGCCGGAGTTTTAGAAGTACATTCCAGTTCTTTTCTCCGAGTGTGCTGTGGATAAAAAAAATCAAAACTACAGGACCAGTAATGATAAGTAACTCTGTAATACATCTTTCAATCTATATTTATTAAGAGAAAATTCTAAATAAAAATGGTGTCTCATGTATCTCTCAGTGACACACATACCCTATCATTCACCATCATCAGAGACAACTGCTCAACTCTCCACTGGTATCTAAATTTTTGGAATTCTCTCCTGGTAAACACAGCAGCCCAGGACCCCAGCTTCCACTCTACCAACCACTTACTTCCTTCCTTCACAGTAACACACCTTCCACCCACTTTTACATTTTATCTACTCTGAAGAACATTTTTCTTGCCAGAATTTTGTCTCATCTGCTTGTCTCCCATATGCAGTGGTGGGGACGGTTCCGCTAACCGCTAATTAGTGAAGCTAACTTTCTCGTTAGCGGATTAGCGTTTTTGCTAACTTTGGGAACCATTAGCAGACCAATTAGCTTCCGCTAAATTTAGTTCCTCTAACTTTAAGTCCGCTAACAAAATTTATGTACATGTTTGTTCCTGTCTGTTCTAAGCGTGTGACGCCGCGACGCGTTTCTCCAACAGCCAGTCAGGCACGCTTGGCTGACTGCGTGTTAGTACGTGCAAACATATCTTGAGGGCCAAGAGAGCCACCCTGTCAGATGGCAACTTTGAGAGGCTGATGTTTATGAAGGGCAACCAGCATCACGTCGAGGCGATGGAGAAGGCCCAGCCACTGCAGCCGGAGTGAATGGAATTTTCGATTATTAAAGTTTAATACTTTTTTTTTACAATAAATAAAGACTGTCAATGTATGTTGAAAGAATCATAGAATGTAATTGTAAACTAATGTATACAGTAATTTTATTTCTCATTTATTTGTTAATTTAATTAGGTTTTTTTTTTCAACATATTTGGTTATGCTAAGTTCATAACCAGGATGTCATCCAAGGTGTGCGCCAAACAAAATTTTCTAAAAACTTACTTTTCATTAAAGTTTAGAGTTTTCTGTTTATTAACATGACTAAGACCAACAATAAGTTATATAAAAATGCACTGGTACAATGAGTAAGACCAACAATAAGTTATATAAAAATGCACTGATATAATGTGTATGTGGTTGGTATTGCACATTTACATGAATAATGAATAAGGCCGATAGGCTGTATGAGAATGCAAATTAATTATTTGTGAAATTGTGTACAGTGTACACCTTGATAAGTTGATCATCATCTGATCTTAGCATGATGCTATTTGCTACCTATGCTATACAGTACTATAGTTTTGGGATTCGTTTAATACTTTCTGTCTTTTCGTACAGTAAATAAAGATTATAAAGTGTATGTTGAAACTTGAATGTAAACTAATGTTTAATTTCATTTGGTCATTTAATTATTTGTGTACACCTTGATCATCATCTGATCTTGGCATGCTGTACCTTTTTGGAAAGCTCTATGTCTAAGCTACAAGACAACATATGAAAATTTCAGCTCTCTAGGTCTGTTTTTAAGGGTTTTAGAGCCCAAAAAAATAAAGAAGCTAAATTCATATAATAAAAGTTAGCGGTTAGCGTTAGCTTCCGCTAATTTTTTTTAGTTGTTTAGCGGTTTAGCGTAAGCGAAGTTAACTTTTTAGTTAGCGGATTAGCGGTTAGCGAAGCTAACTTTTCGTTTAGCTGTGCCCACCACTGCCCATATGCTAACTGAGCCACATAACCCTAAACTATTTCACTGGTCCACTCTAATGACAGCTGGACAACTGCTAACATCACATAATTTGTCAGGAACTTGGTACTTAACTATAATTTCTTCCTATACAAACAGTGTACCCATGAACATAAGATAAAGATCTAGATACACTTGTTTTAGTATCCTCAATTAAAATAAATTGAAAAACAAATTTAAAAACCCATGCTTCCTTTTCATCCCTCTCTCTCTCTCACATTACACTGCATGCTTCAGATGTGAAACAAAGTAAGATTATTCAATATCACTGCATAAAATTTTGCTATTAAATTATTTGACACTATTTTTCCCTCAATTTAGTATTGATTACACACCACCAACCACCTTACCAAGCATTAAATGGTAATGAGTCTTTAAGGTCTTTCACAGGAAGACGAAAAGTATTTTGAAGGCCGTCTAGAAGAACAGTCTCGTGCAGTCTGTATGTGTTGAGGGCCATGATACTCCCATCTTGTACACACAGCCAACCACCAGAATCAGCCAGTCGACCAAGTAATCTCATGGTGCTGTCTGAATGTGAATCGTTGTCTTTCTGCCCAACAATAATCTTCTTCACCTCCTCCAGTGTAACAATAATTTCCTTACTGCGGTCCTTCCACGGCCTTCTTGACTCCAGCTGCCTCTTCAGGACACTCTTACCATTAGTCTTGGTCATCTGGGGAGTCAAGGGAGCAAGGTACCTAAAATAATACCAATGAAAAATTAAATATACATATATATATATACTGCCTTCATTATGTGTCCAACTTCTTCCACTTTCAAACCAGATTAGTGAAACAGATTTTTCCAATCACTTCAGCATAGTTTGTAACGACTTTCTCGAGATCAGTTGAATTTTGTAGCACAGAAAAGAATAATGAATTTTCCAGTGACTATTACTAAGATCTTACCTGTCTAATGATCCCTTTGTCATACTTCTTACATTTGAAGGTGAATTCAAAGAGGTGTTTAGTCCTTTACTTTCCCGAATCCTCCTGGAAATATGAAAGAAATTACCTGTATAGTCTTAATAGTGGGGCAGCATAGCAAATCTATTGTGCATTTTGTGATAAATGTACCAAATTTGGCACACTTCTTGACTTTTAGATAATGAACAAATCTGGAAAAGGTGCCACTTCATATTTTGCCCCCGATAGCCGTGGCAGGCATTTTCCAAAATGGCGGTCAGAAAACTATCGCGGCATCCAGAAAAAGTCACTTCAAGACATATTGTGGGACTAAAATAGGTGCAGTTGACATTCTAAGGTGTAAAAGACAAGGACAAAGGAGATAAACCAAAATTAAACATGGTTTTATTATGTCATTGGTGAATACAGCCTGTGAATCTGCAAGTACAGCGAGTTGTGGAGCAGTATTCATCAATCTAGGAAGTCAATGATGGGGGCACAGTCCTTCACACACACACACACACCGTACTGTGCATTCAAGTGCAGCCTTTTTGCAGTTGCAGCCCTTCACACATCCCTTCTTGCATCTGCACGAGACTAGCTCATAACAGGTGTGGGCAACCTCCGGTAATGTCGTCCAAAACTGTGTGGACAAGCCTTCTGCATTCTTCGTTCAGCCCCAGCTGGTTGGCGGAGGCAGCTGTGGTGATGGTACCAGGGTTTGGCCCCAGACATGACCCCACTGGTAAGCTGCCCTTTTGACATGCTCCTCTAAGGCTGCCTTTGTTGGTGGGATCAGCTGCACATTATTCTTTTTGGCGAATAGCTTCCTTCTCGTCTTGTTGATGTCCATGCATGAGCTGGTTCTGTCATACAGGAGGATAATGAACCTCTCCATGATGTGCATGACATCCTCTGGTATGACTTTTGATGCAGCAGAAAGCCTCAGCAGTGCCTCTGTCAGATCCGGGTAGACAGCCCATATTGCCCAGGCAGTCTTTTTACCATGACCAGAAAAAATGAACACAGTGTCACACCATATCAGGGCATGGAACATAGGCGATGCCCGTGCCTTCTCTGGTCCCAGACATGCTGCCATTTTGTGGGCTGCGAGATAGCGGAAACTTTTGCCAGTGCCAAATGCCAACCACAGTTCATCTTCTTCACGCATCCCTTGGACCACTGAGACAGCCAAAACCACGACATCTGTGTCCACAGTCTGGATCAGTATCTTATGGTGGTCATGCTGGGCTGCAAAGGATGCATGCAGCAACATGCGACTGTCTGCTTCTTCGTAATTGCATGGGACGATCGATGCCAGTTAAGGGGGCACTGGCTTGCTAAGGACTGCCTGTCCATCAGTGATGACAAGCTGCTTGTCTTCTTTGTCAAACCACGTGAGGAGGGCGTCTGACAGGAACTTGAACAGCTCCATCTTGCTGCTGTCCACCCTGAGGAAGTTCTGCCAGTTTCCTGGTATGGTAGCTGAATCCACCACACATTTGCGGACTCCTTGTCCACGTTTTGCTCTCGCTGTACATTTCAGTGATCAGCAACATGCCTGTCAAACACCAGGGTGCTTTTTTTCAAATTATGCCATATCCCTTAGGTGAACAGAGACCCACCTTGCATAGTTAGCGCGGTCTAGGTCATGGAACCATGGGGCCAGTCCCGTCAGTGCATCAAGGTACATGGTGAACGAGGATTGGCCCAGAGAACGCACATACACCAGTACCAACAGCTCAGTTTTAGCACTGTTACCCAGTACTGGAACAGGGGTGTTTTCTTCTCTCTTCTTGCACCAGGCATTGAACTTGGGCAGATAATCAGTATGGTCAACTTCTCACAAGCAGAAGCGATCATGACGTTTCTGTAGAATATACAGTGCCGCAGCAGTAATTTGGCGAGCCCTCTTTCTGCAGGTGACGTGGGCTGCTCGCAGAAAGGAAACAGCCAATCCTAGTGTCGCAATCTCGGCTTGAACTAGTGCCTCCACCCAGCCACTGCCTTCTAGCCAGTCCCCCAGCATCTTCAGAGCTGCCATCTTGATGTGCAGCCCCCAAACATAATCAACTGTTTGTCTTCACCATAACACTCCGGTCATGTTCATTGAATTTGCTTGGCCAAGACATACAAGGGCTGATCGAGGGTGACTACTGGTGCCTGTCCAGGGTTCAGGTGCTCAACAGCATTCTTTATGACATCAATGGAGTGCCGGATCATGGCCACTGTGTGAGCACTCTCCACAAAAAGTGGGGCGACGTGGGGCAGATGACTCGAACATACTGTTTAACTTTAATTAGACTAATTACTCGATTATTTCTATATGAATATAATAAAATAATTCACTTAGTAGTTTTAGTTATTTTGCAGTGAATTAAACTCCACTACCAACATACAGTCACACCCAGGAGGGCAATTAAGTATAATATCAGTAATTGTTGGTGGCCATTTTGGATAATGGCTGCGGCTACTGTCTGCAACTAAATCTGCGGTGGCACCATATCTGTTCACTATATTCAAGTCAATGATAATTATACAAGTGTGGAAATTATTTTGTATATTTCCACCTAAGATTACTGTACGGTATTGTAATTTCTAAATATTACCTTGGCATTTATGTGTAATTGATTTTATCCATTATTCACTTGCATAAAAATATAATAACGGTGTTGGCCATCGGATGATTTCACAGAGTTGGGACGAGACCACATGTTCTACTAAATCCCTTTAATCCCAGTGAATTAGTTTATATAAATAAACTAATATTATATTAAATTGTATTGTAACATTAAATTTATGAAACAACAATGAGGCTGTCAAAGTAAAGAATAAACATAATGAGTGACGTGTCACATAATGACGTAAATTTTGGCAGAGAGCCGTTTGCTCAAGACAGAAGGCAGAGCTGTTTACCCCACCATCATTACAAGATGTACTAGAAAAGTCAACTCAGTCTAGCTGAAATTATGTTACCATAAGAGAAAAGTCAAGATAGATACAATTCAACACTGGCTGAGCCTCAGTAGAACCTCATAAAGGATTCATAAACCCATCCTGTGAATTCAGCTAAGTATCTAACAGTCTGTAGGAGAACCGTATTTTTTGTTGGAGAGGGGCGAGGAGGTGAGCCTCCATTAATAAATTTAAATAGTAAATTAAACAGAGTGACGAGCAAAATTTATGACAACAAGTACCATATATAGTCCTGTACTCATGTATAAACAGCTCTCATGTATAGTTCGACCCCTGATTTTTCGGTAAAAAAATCTTGTGTTTTACCTACAGCATTTCTTGTATAATTCAACCCTAGTTTGTGAGAAATATTAGGTATAATCCTAGACATAATTTGTAGCAAGACACCAGATTAACCCTTAGGCCTCGGGTGACATTCCAGAACGTCCGCCTATTTTCCCGCCATTCTTTGTATTATTATTTTTGGAAAAATTGATTGTTTTCTCGATTTAACTCTGCGGGGTGGGGGGTTAACTGCCAACAGCACCCTAACCCGGGGCTTAAGAGTTAACACCACCACAACAGCTGAAGCTATGAACAGTGTTACCATCTCTGAAAATGAATTCCCTTCAGTTACAAACTCATATGAGGAATAAGATACTGTATACCAGTGAATGTGAGGAATAAATAAATACAAATCATATTAAAAAAATAAATAAAAATACTCTATTCCCATTTGGCTGCTGAATGACAAAATTTGTCAATAATTTCACTAACCACAGGAACAGCTGGGGTCCCCCGCCCCCTTCCCGTTTAGCGTGAACTCTTAACACACGAAGAGTGTTTATTCCCTTTTATGTTTTCACCTTATGATATATATATATTTTTTTTTTTGCATATTCTGTAAGTAAGATAAGTAAGGTTGTGTGTGCATGTAACAGTAAAAAAGAAAAAGAAATAAAAAATACATACAGTATATGAGGAACCCCGCATAGTATGGGTTATTCGTTCCAAAATTTGAAACTGAGAAAACGGCGCTTAAAGTTTTTCCAACTTCAAACATGCATAACTTCGTTGTTTTTTGAGATACAGCATCAATTTTTGAGGCATTTTGAAGCTAAAGGACTGTACTAGCATCATGAAGTAATGTACTGTGTTGTTGCAATGTTGACTTGAAGCACCAAAACTCCCAGCTGCTTATAGTTTTTTACTTTAATCGATATCAGAGTGTAGATCCCGACACAACAAAGGAGAACTGAGGGAGAGGGAGAGGGATTCCGCCTCATCGGCTGGAGGGGCCGTGACGTAGATAGCAGACGCTCACTGTCGTTGGCTGAGATGGGGGAGAAAGCTGTAGGCTGACTGCTGTGATTGGCCACCCGCTCCTCTTACCCACTCACTGATGGGATGAGAACACCTGACAACACGAAAGCCAAGCCCATAATTTCCTGTATGCCATAAATCAATGATCTACCCTATTTTCAAAGGGCTTTCAACCTTATGTACTGTACAGTGTATTAAGGAGATCTTATCAACTACCATTGTATAGAGCTAGGCCGAAAATAGTGCTTTCCAACAAAAAACAGGTTTCGCCCAGATGGTCTGAATGCACCTTATGATGCAGGACGCCTCATATCTACCCAAAATGACAAGTTGAAAAATAGTCGTAATATAGCAAACAACTAATGCCACCCGGTACACAAGAGTTAGAATATAATCTGGTATGTATGAAGCATTCAACAATAAAATAGAATAAGTTAAAATGAGAACATAGCCAAGAGAGCACTTGGAAGTCCTACATATAAAGCCCAGTGCCCACCCATTCTGCAAAATTGGCTTGGTGATAGGAAGGGCATCCAGCCATAAAAATTCTTATACTTTTGCCTGATGGTAACTGGGACACTATGCTATCATGTAACATGGATAACCAATGCAAGAATAGAAAATTACCCCAAAAGTGATGATGATGATGATAAAGATGATAATGATATGACAGAAGCACTCACTGGATTTGCTCCTGGTATTTCTCAGTCTCTGCCTTTGCCATTTCATTATAATAAATTTTGGTGTCAGCATCCACAACTTTCCACCTGGCAGCCAACTCTTGACCAATGAAGGCAAAGTCTTTTCCGGGGTATTCAGATAATACTGTAAATATACAAGGATATCACCACATGACAAATACAAGAATTACAAAAGGATTCTGGAATTTTTAAAAAATATATTACAGGTATACCTCGGTATATGAAAAGGTTAGGTTCCTGAAATACAATTCCTTAAGGCAATTTTCATATAGCAAATAAAAGAACTCATGGGAAAAATAGGGTTCAGTTCTCTGATAACAAGAAAACCCCAATACTGTACGTATTATAATCCAAAAACATGAAATTGGTTCATGAACAACAATAAAATCTACCAAATGATAAATGAATAATACAAAACTACCATAATTTACTACCCAACACATTAAAAACGTTAATAAAATACAATCTAGATGAAAATATGCAGGTAAAACTTTTAAAGAAAACCTAAATGAAATTATAACACAACCTTCATTTGCATAGACGCTGGCTGTGTCATGCGTGGTCTCAAGTCTCACTAAAGTAATGCAGCCTGGCTGGGGTCGCTGCCTTTGCTGACGCTTAGCAGCGCTCACCCCCCCCTGCTCTCACACACAAAGAATGTTTATTCCCTTTATGTTTTTGACTTATGATAGCCGTTTTGCACATTACTTATGTAGGATTGTGTGCACATGTAACTGAATAAAAAATAAATAAAAAATGGAGACAGTTAAGTTTGTCTAACCGAAATTACAAGTTGAAAAATAACCATAACATAACTCACACCTCAGCCAGGGGGATATGTATGCCCAAGCTCATTTCTGTGGGTGAGCAAATTGAAATCTAGCTGGAACTCAAATTTGTAAAAGCATGGTAAACTTTCATAACATTAAAAATAGGTGGTGATTTAGGAAATTCATATCAGCAAATTATCGTATCTTGAACGTTTGTATCGCGAGGGATACCTGTACAGTATTACAACAGCCTAACCAGAATTCATAAACAAACAACTTTTCTGATGATGCAATTTATCTCACAATCTCAGGCTTGTGTAAATACTGTACACTGACTGAACTGCTATACAGTACAGTACATTAGCTAAGACACCTTAGAAATATACGAAGAACCTGATCTCCTTACAACACCTTAAATTAACCCCTTCAATACAGGGCCACCACTTTTCATATTTGACCTGGCTAATGGCATACGACTTTACTCAGCACAGAGGTGACCCCGTACATAAGGGGTTAATCCAAAAATCGCGACCAGGTAAGGGGCATTGGTGAATCACTGGGCAGACACCAAATGGATGAGAAAGTGAAAATAAATAAAATTAAAAAAATAGAAAGCCATAATAATACAAATGGGATTAGCTGAAGATTAACCCCTTCTCAGCTTATTTAACCTATTGAATAAAAACACAATAAGTAACTGGGCATTGGGTTAGGTTAGGTTTGAGTAGCAATGGGGCGTTTAATATTAACCCTCTCACGCATGCAATAAGTAACTAGGTGCAATCTGAGCATCTTCATTCAATGATAAATTTATCACACAAGAATTTTTTTTTCCATAATTTATCACTGGCTTTGTTATTGTTTTGGCTTTAACATAAGCCATAAAATAAATGAACATAAGAAAAAACTACATTCTCTCTCTAAATAAAGTAAAAAAAAAGGGGGGAAGGGGGGTGTTCCCGACTCCATATCTCATACATTTTTTCACGAATCTATGAAATGTATCATAGTTATAGAAGCAGAATTTTATGAGCTTTCCAATGGTATCTTTCTCTTCCCTTTACATCTAAAAATTTGGGAAAAAATGCAAACAGCTAAAAACATACCAAAAAATCACAATAATCTTTTTTTTTAATTTCTTTTTGAACGTATGGGGCTTATTGTAATAATTTTAGGGCATTGTATAGCCTGTAGTGTTTAGAAGAGAAAGAGGTGTCTACCATTTTTATGTTTTTTATGTACAGTATACAACCATATTATGTGAATTACGCATATATTCAGTTACATACATAAATTTATATGTACTGTACCTCATATAGTATATAAACATACTGTATAGCCCATATATATATATATATATATATATATATATATATATATATATATATATATATATATATATATATATATATATATATATATATATATATATATATATATATATATATATATATATATATATAATGTACTGTCAGCCAAAGATCCAGCAACCCCACCCTTAGTCTCTTACTGGCAATGTTACCTGGCAATACTTGATAAAGTAAGGCTGTATGTAAAGGTGATTGTGATTGGTGGATCTATTTTCGGCTGCATTACTGTCAGGATAAATATTAAACAATCCAAAGGTAAAATTTTTATAATAATAAACTATTCATTGTTATTTAAGATCTTGGGAAGTTTCCAAATGTTCTTATATTTGCTTAGATAATGAAGAAAATTTTGTCTGAGAATCTTGTCGCAGTCCTCGTTCCCCGTTGAAGTTGAGTTGCCAATTCATTAATATAATTTCTACATTATTTAACCAAATATACAAATGTTTGGATACTTCTCATGATCTTAAATAAGAATGAATAGTTTATTATTATGAAAATTTTACCTTCGGATTGTTTAATATTTATCCTGACAGTAATGCAGTAATAGATCCACAAGTTATAAACCTCTTAAATGCCAGGTAAAATTGTGATAAGAGACTCAGGAGTGAATCTTTAACTGACTATAAATAAAGTCGATACTCTTGAGATACGGATACTTTCCAAGAGGTGACTGAATTCGCACTAAATCGAAGTGTTGTTTCAATGGAATAATTAAGTTTGGTACTTGAGAGAAACACAAAATACAAAAAAGACTGAGTCTACCCAGATGCACCTCAGCCCATCTCCAAGAATAAACAAAACGTTGTTCTTTGTAGTATTATATTAAAACAAACACTCATAAATCAACATAGCTAAAATTAAGGGATGCAAAATGGTCTCTTTACTGGCTGGGAAGATGGGGGGGAGGGGGGGGGTTCAGGTGATAGTGTTTGACAGTTGATGCCAAGGTCTAGTGCTTATTTATTTATCTGTCCTTAATAGTGACTAAGTTTTTCTCTTATAAAATGTCACTGAACTGACATGGGAGAATATAATTAACATTGCTGGAATTCTTATAAGAAAGTTATTAATTTGAATATAAACATGCTATAGCTCACATTACACATACAAATTTTAGTTCTAATTTAAGAATTTTATTACAAAGAGCAAAAGTTTTTTATCTCTTGGGCAAAATATATTACGTTTATATTCAAATTATTCGCTGCCTTGCAAGGATTTCAGGAATACAAATTATATTCTCATAACTTTAGTCTCTGACATTATATAAGATACAAACACCAAACCCTGGCTGAGAAGATGGGGGGAGGAGGGGGAAAGGATGGGGGAAGGAGGGGGAAGTGACAGTGAGATGTTTGACAGTTGGCACCAAAGGTCTAGTGAAGTATTTATTTGTTTATTTGTCCTTTAGCTTGAGTATGTTTTTTGCTTATAAAATGTCACATAAGTGACCGGAGAGAATACATATTTTACATTGCTGGAATTCTTTTAAGATAGGGATTAATTTGAATATAAACGTGCTATAGTTTGTACAAGACAAAAATTTTAGTAATCATTTAGTACTTTATTTTGAGTATGTGTACAGTACAGCATTGCCCTTAGGACAGTGTAGCGTGCCCAGAGAAATATTAGGGGCAAAATTTTAAATATGATGCGCCAGATTGACTCGCGCAAAATAGGAAAGATTCGCTTTAAATTCAAACATTGTCCTAAATTGTGGGTGTCGCTTTAAATCAAGTCTTAAATTGAATCGCTTTAAATCGATGTTATACTGTATATGGTGAAGGCGGTAGTAGGAACAAGCTGCTTGCCATTTTTGCTCTGATTTCCTAATTACATTTCCTTGCCACCATCACTTCCACTATTATGCCTTGATAATACTTCGAGGTAGGAAGCAGTTTCCTAGTCTCCCAGATAATGGACCTTGAGAAGCATGTTCCATTATAGTTTGAATGAATTTTAACTATTCAATTATCTTCTCTGCGGGAAAAACCCAAACAATATAGACAATTGAAATTCCTTGAAAAACGATTTCCCTATAAAACATCACTGTATTGCAAACATAACCTTACCCCCTCCTAAGGTGATCCTAAAAATGTACGTTATACAAAAGATTGCCTTAGTACCTTGAGAACGTATATCTCTAGCGAAAAGGATAAACGGACTGCACGGTTTCTTGACAGGTGTGCCATGGATATAGTCATAACTAGGTGGTCCTAGGGAGTTTATTTTAGGCTTTTTAGGTGGCGTAGCTTGAGAACCCGGGATATCTGAAGAAATTGGCGGCTTTAACCTCTTTCCAACACCACTTCCAAGGGAGAGTTTTCTTTTACCTTCTTTTACTTCAACACTTCCAGCATTAACAAGCTGAACAGTCTGAAAAAAAAAGTGAATTTATCAGCAATATTGTAGTGGAATAGTATACATAAGGAACTCTGTCCAAATGAATGATAATCCCGGTTATTTTATATGTGATACAGTACTGTATCATCTATGTTGATTACAGAATTATTATTTACATTTAGTGGAAATTTTATTCGTGCAAATATCTTGGAAAATCTATTACAACTTCCTCATAACACCATCTGTGAGGGAATTACTACACCACATCAGGCCCCTCGTAACATCAGTGAGGGAGTTACTACAGTACGTGTTTGCTGTTCAACACCTCAGCGCACGTGGCCTATGTGACCTCCACTGTAAATATTATATAGTATGTATGTTCGTTGTATGTTCCCTTTTCTTCTTCTAATGAAAGCATTTGTGAATTAACCCCCCCCCCCCACATGTCAATGTATATACTGTACAGTACTGTAATAAGTCATTTCTGTCAGCTGTATATTTTCAGCTTTCAGGCTGAACTTTTTCAATAAACCACTAATTATTATTATTATTATTATTATTATTATTATTATTATTATTATCACACACACACACACACACACCATAGAAAAGATGTATGAATACTGTACTGTAAATGTACTGGTATCCCCAGCCACCTTTAAATTTACTCATTACTAACCTGAATATTTTTTCCATATGATATGTGACCTCTACTCCAGCTGCCTCCAGTGTTTGTGGATGCTTTCTGCCTCTCTTCTTCATCTTCTTGGGGTAATACTCTAACTTCTTCCTCTACATTATTCTTTGGTGGAGTTAATCTCTGTTGTGCATCTAGAGCTTGTACCCCAGTACTAGTACTCTCATTATGCAGACTAAAATTTGTTTCCTGGGCATTTTCTTGTGTTATTATAAAGTCTTGAGAATCCTGATTACCTGTATTATTAACTAGTACCTCGTCAGGCTGAAGGAGTGGGGCAATCTTGAACACAGGTATACCATCTGACCCCATGAGAGATTCATGGTGGTGACTGCTGTCCTGTGTTGACTGGGAGGATGTATAACTGTTTCTATGATCAACTCCGGTATAATCACCTTCAACTTGTACTGCAGTTTCAGGTTTCGATTTTCCCCACAATTTCTTACTATTACTACCTGAACTTAAACTTGAAGATGGCACATTTACTGGTACATGTTCTTTAAGCGTCTCTGAACTTTTAGAATTATCATCATCCTCTGAAATAAATACTCTAAAGATATCATCAGTGTCTTCAAATGGACATCTGTCTCCATTCTGGGGAATAGAACTTTCCGCTGCAGAAGGAAAGAGTGCCTCTGTCTCTCTACCTGGGGTACTTGTAACTAAATTCTTTTGTACATTAATGTTATTTTCTTTATTGCTATCACAAGTGGCCATTTTCTGCAAGGTTTTACCAACATTTACTTTATCTATAGAATGATGATTATCATTTTCTCTCACTCCAATTACTGTATTTAACTGGGACGGCCGAGGAACAAGGTTTCCTGTCTTGCGCACATCAGGCGTCCCCGAGTTATGACTTATGCAACTAAAATTTGTTTTACCCTTACTATTTCTTGCATGACTGAGAAACTGTTTATTAGTCATGACATTGTTACTTACACAAGGGCCAAATATATTTTCTGTTTCTTCAATATCATACAAAATATCCTCCACTCCTACATTGAGAGAATCAAATTTACTCTGAGGCTGCTGACTCTTTTCAGATGGACATGAATTTATCTTTTCTTGAGGCTGTGAGATGCAAGATAAGGTACAGGTGATGTCTGTGTTCACCACACCTCCTTTCTCTCCATTAGATTTCCTGGTGGTGCTCTCAACAGGACCATAAAGTTCAGTCAACATCATCCTCAAGGTTTCAAGAATAGCACCCTGAAAAAAAATTAAATAATGTAAATAAAACATGTATACACCAAACATGTAAAAATTCAATGCGGATATTTTGAAACACTACAAGTATTATGTATTAATTACCACACATCCTTGGCTTTAACCTCTTCTAGTATGGATACAAAAGAAGTCTTTCTCACAACGAAGATGCATTACAGTACAGTAATATCTCCATTAGCCGGAATCCCTCAAACCCGGAACTCCCCGATAACCAGAATTGAAATTTTCTTGGAAAATCGTTCCCAGAGCCGAAATTTTCCAGAAAATTCCGGCTTTGAGAACGATTTTCTGAGGGACACATTTTCCGGAAAATTCAGAGAAAATTTTCCCGATACCCGGAAAATTTCGGGAATGGAGCAGTTTTTTCCAGGTTTGAGAAATGAGAATCAGGTGCATTTTCTGGAAATTCAGAGAACATTTTCCCGTGACCCGGAAAATTCCAGGGATGAGGGATATTTTTCCGGGTTCGAGAGATGATGCAATGGGCAATTTCTGGAACTTCCGAGACGGGGATGAGGGATTTTTTTCCAGCTTTGAGAGAGTCGTCTCGTTACCCGAAAATCTCTCATTCCCAGAAATGCTCTGCACCAATTGTTCCGGCTAACAGGGATATCACTGTATTACCATAGCAAATACAAAGGAACAACGGCATAAAGGCAGATGATAATGGTGTGGTTCAGTATTAATAACTTATGTCATGTTTGGCTGTACAGTACAGCATACGGTATCCAAAAAACTCTAATTAATGTGCAGAAACCAATCGCATATACAGACGGACAGGCAGCATCATGAACTGGAGATGAAGTGGATGAATGAGAAGATAAGACTGCAGACAAAGATGCATATGCAAGTTGAAGATATACAGTACAGTATGAATAGATATACCTGTATGTCGTTATTTCTACTTCATGTTCTAGCCTTCTCGTCACTATATACCAGTGGTGTCAAACTCAAAACCTTCCGAGGGCCAATTCATATTTTAGTTACCCTCTTCAGGGCCAACACAAGTGCTATATCACATATTTGCAGGATTGCAGTTTACAGCTTCACACATTGTCTTACCTGGCTTACCAGGAATACCTCACTTGGGTTTGTCTGATCTTAAGTAAATAAAATAAATTTTACTTAATAAACATGAGTAACAATAATAATAAGATAGCAAAAGGTATAAACATGCATTATTTTGGGACTACAATTTATTATAGAATTTAATTTGTGTTTTGAAACTGTACACTGGCGAGGCCTAGCGCAAGGCAGGCTTGATGTGACCGTCATGTGTACAAAGTTTCCCTACAAATCTTATAAATTCTTTTAATTTCAATGGATTGACTCCACATCAATTCTGCATATAGTTAGTCATAGCTATAGATAACAGAGTGATTAAAAAGAGAAGTATAACTCACGATTTCTTCAAAGAAGTGGAGAGGGTTCCACAGCACACACCAGTTCTCCTCATCTGTTTAGCCTACAGTTGTAACGTTTGGCTGCTGCCTTTGTTCAGATGCCAGAAATGGCTGTAGCTTCGTTTTTTAATTCTTTAGCGATTTCAATTTATAAGCATTTTCCCTTTACAATGTGTTATTACTAGCATTAACAATATAAATTCAATTACTGCCAGAATGATGTAAAAATCATTTCGGAATTTACTGACTCATTCATATCTGCATTTCTTCCTTCATATCAATTTCTATCATAATTTCACGGGCTGATAAATTTTACTGCCATCCCAAGGGCCACATTTGGCCAGCGGGACAGACATGAGTTTAACACCCCTGCTATATACAGTACACACTTAAAAGACTCTCCCTATCATTTTCCCTCCCTCCCTCCATCTCACACTAGAGTGGGAGAGACTCAGAGGAGTAAAGATTATGTTAAGTAGGGACATCTGGTATGTTACACACCTCTTCCTGTAGAAGGACTTTATTCTTATTGGGTTCCAAGTTTACATCTACAGCATCTAGAGGAACTGTTAAGGCCACAACACCCACAGGATAACGACCATGATTTCCCTCATTTTTCAGGCTGTAGTGAGCCTTGACCAACTGAGGAAGAGAGTAAATTAATGCATAAAAGCCACAGTAAAGAAAAACAATATAAAATAGTGACTAATACCCCTCAATATAGTTTATCTATAGATACAGTATCTACTACAGGCAATCAATGGATCACCGGAAAATTAGACACCCCAGCTTATTTCACCCGAGGATTAAATACCTTAATGCTAACTGGAAAGGTTAGATTAGGTTAACTTGGGTTGGGTTAGGTTGGGTTAGCTTAGGTTAAGGTTTTTAATCATCATGTGAAATAAGCTGAAGTGTCTTATCATCATGTGACCCCCCCCCACCCTCCCCATCAACTTAAAGCACATCCAAAAAGTTTTATATAAAGCAGTGGTGTGAATATGAGGGAGCTGTACTATATCCCTTATAAGATATCAAAAGTTATGCAGTAGAAAGGATGGACCGTGATGTAGATACAATAAATATTACAGCTGAAAACTGTACAGTACTTACCTTTTCAATAGCCTTGTGGGTAACTGGCCGCCGGTTGACCAAAATAAAGAGACGATCAGAAGTAGCTCGACTGAAGCTCTGATTGGAGATATGGCTCGGGTCTGGTAGATGCACCTCTATCTGCATCTGATGAAAAGTCACTTACAATAGGTTATATCATCAATTATATTCTTATGTTAATATTTTACAAGTAGCTAATTAGCTATATATTCTCAAGACCTCACCATCCATCTTCCAGGCCTTAAACTATAGTCATCAAGACCTCACAACCCACTTTCCAGGCACTAAAATATCTTCTTCCCTCCTTTATCACTCAGTCCACTTCATCATTCTACCACTATGTTACTGCATACCTGGTTGGGCCCTTCATCCAGCCATACACCTTGTCAGTCGCACTTAACAGACCCTCCTTTTATGTGACCCACCAACTCCCTTCACAACACCTCACACTGGCCATTTCTACTCTTCTCGACTCGGCATAAAATACTTCCTTTACATTTGGTTCTTTCAATTTCCACACTCTCAGGGAACACACACAAGTTCTACCTTTCCCTTCACATTTTCTGTTCTAACATATAACACACAGGCAAGGCATATTCTTTCCCCTTTATCACCACTATATCCCAAACAAGTTCCCTGTCTCATCTGATTTCATGGCAAGTACGACCCACCTCAACCCACTTCAGAGACACCCCCCTTTCATATGCAACACGGCAATAAAGCCGAGTTAGAAAGAAAAGAAGGAACTCATCACCCCCACCCATGATTCCTTCAATGAGTTGGGTATAATATACCTTTGTCCTCCTGTAAATACAACACAACACAGGTTCTATAACTATATACTTACATCTTCAAGTGCTTTGACTTTTGACACCAAATCTTTAAACACTCTTGGGAATGTGTTCATGAGAGCAGTACGAATGTCTTGAGCTGGATTCTTCTGGATAATGTTGGCTCTGTTTACCAGAAATACAGAAAGATATGTTTTTATACATATTATAAGACTGCAGGTTTATAAAAATTATGGCTTTCAAAATATTAACCCCTTGTCACTGTGTATGTCACTGTGTACACCTGAATAAAATGATCTGAATTTAGCCAAATAAAATCTTAAGAGTGGCCTCCCTGTAGGGGTTAATAATAAAATTATCTGGGGTACGGATGAAGTACAGAATTTTTTTTTTTTTTTAGAAATGACAGTGATACTGAAGGAAGTAGATGAGGAAATAATGATTCTGATTCTAGTGAAGCATAATCTCTGTTTTAGGAAACTAAACAGTAAATTGTAGAAACAATATGACTCAGTCCTGTGAGGTTGTTCACCAATGACAAAAATGATGAACACTGCCATATGAGGCATGCAACAAGGGCAAAGTTGCCAATCTGTCATTTTCCCATTTTCGGTGCACTCAGATACTCACGCCAGACATCTTCACCCTGTGTAGTAATTGTTATTATCTCCTAATTACCTCAAAATGAATCCTTTCCATTGATTGGGGTATAAAAAAAGCAGATTTATGTATAACTTGCATTTCCTGTAAATTTCATAATACCGGACCTTATTTACAATTATATTTTAAATACAGTACTCCGAGTCAACAATTGATGGCAGGTGTAGGTTAAATTGGTTAATTAAGGAAACACATTAAAATGCCTTTTTTTCCATTTTCTACAATCATTTCCTTCTTCGACTTATCAAGCCAAATAAAATTATATATAAAACATGAAAATTGGATTGTTTTTGTTGCGGTACATTTTTTTTTTAAACTTTAAATGTGATTATCTTTAAACCAAATTTTGGATTCTTATATACTGTTGTTCTGACATGTTATAACATAATGGGTCCAAGTCCTGCTTGGCCAGGAGACATGTGAGAGGGGTGCTATCCAGTGTGACCCTTCCAAACGTTATAAGTTTCCTCCAGGTACAGTTGTCCGGTTTCTTTCTGTACTAACATTGGACAAATAAAGTTCATACAGATTGGACTAACCGCCTGAACAGCTAGTGGTGAAATGACACATTAAAAAAAGTTAACCAAACAGTTTGAATACAATATTACAGTCCAGTACTTACTTGCCATGTGTGAGTGTAAGATGAACAGCAGGTACCGCTAATGATATCGCTAATACAATGTCTTCCACTTTCTTCAGTTCCTCCCGGCAGCGTTTGGGATTCCTGTAAAACTGTCGCCGAACTGGGACGTTCTTGAACAGGTTGCTGATCACAATTATTGTTCCTGTGAATACAGTACCATAACTCAAGAGCATACTTCACCCATTTGTCTCGACAAGAAAGTGTACAGTACTGGAAGTGAATGGCAATAAAACAAACAAACACACATACACACATTTCATCAAGTTACTCTATGATCCAAGTATTAAACTGTGCAACTTGTGTAACCGTAGATAACAAAAAATAATTACAATAATAATAATAAGATAAAATACAGTGTAGTCTCGGTTTATGCGGTCAATTAAACCCGTGGAGGTCCGCATAAAACGAGAAACGCGTAAACAAAATAACAGAATATATGGGATTAATTGAAATAGAGACTGGGCCGACCTTCAGACTACCCTTTTTCTGACACAATATGTACGTTGTAGTAAAAATAACATCTTAATTTTATGATGGTATGCACACACAATTAATATTTAAGAGAAATATAAAAAATATTAGGTTTTTTAACACTTACGTTAGTAGAAGAGATGGCTGGGCACACGAGGATGGGGGGTTGGTTCCGAGGCAGAGGGCAGATAATTGGCCCTCACCTGTATCACTATCCACCACAGAGGCTTGCAGGGCCTCTTTGTCAAACCCCTCAAAGTCCATATCCTCACTATCACTGACTTGGGCTGGCTGTGGTGGGTGGCGGGTGAAGAACTCGGTAATGTTTTGTTGACTGGGCGACCGAGTGTGCACCCTGCCCGCACCGCTTCCCGCGTCAATGATGGAATGTACCGCGTAACTAATAATTGCCAGTCTGGCCAGGTGCCGCGTAAATGACCAACCGCGTAAATCGAGACTATAATGTATTCAATAATCAAATCATCAGTAAACAAATTTATATGGGAAGGACAAACAGGAGCAAATCAATATGCTCACCCATGTAAGCATCAATCAATTAATCAGAGTACCATCCACACACCTGAGGACCATAGTCCTCCACTCTAAACGTTGTCGAACTGTTTTTACCAATCCTCTAAGGTTTCGTATCTCTCTGGGGATCCGGTTTTTAATTTCATTCATCCATCCCTATCTCTGCCTTCTACTGGTTCTCGTTCTCTAAACTTTGCCCCTCATCCCTAATTATATGACCAAAGTTTCTCAGCTTTCTTTTCTGTACATTTAAAATATTTTTCATAAATTTTTACTAATCTTAGTACTTCATTTGTTTTCCTGTCAGTATAGCTTATTACTAGCATTTGCCAAACCTCTTTCTGGTGTCTGTTGAAAGTGTCCACGCTTCTAACCCATACATCAGTCCTTGCCACATAAAGGTTTTCAGCAGCCCTCTCTCAAATTGAAGTTAATAACCCTTTTCATTAGGTCTAAGAGTTATTAAATGCTGTTTTCGCTTGCCTTATTCTTGCTTTGATTTTTTCTGTCCATCTACCATCACAGCTAATGTTACTTCCCAAATACAGGAATACGCTATTCACAACTTCGATAACCCGCAATTGATATTTTAATATGTGGAAAAAATTAACAAAATCGATCAATTCCTACAGTAATATTTCAAACCAGGCGGGCTAGCTGCAGCTTTCATATTCTGACTCAATATAAATAATAATATAGCATATCTCTTCAAGCTTCTCTGTCATAAAAACTGAAAGGCAGGTTTATCCTGAGTTCCTCCAAAGGGTGTACAGTAATCAAAACCCAAATAAATACAATAGAATGTCGATTTAAAGCGATTCAATTTATGGTTATTGATTTAAAGCAACACCCACAATTAAGGACACTTTTAATTTAAAGTGAATCTTTCCTATTTTGCAAGCGAGTCAATCTGCCGCATCATATTTAAAATTTTGCTCCTAATGTTTCTCTGGGCACGCTACACTGTCCTAAGGGCAAAGCTGTACTGTACATATACTCAAAATAAAGTACTAAATGATTACTAAAATTTTTGTCTTGTACAAACTATAGCACGTTTATATTCAAATTAATCCCTATCTTAAAAGAATTCCAGCAATGTAAAATATATATTCTCTCCGGTCACTTCTGTGACATTTTATAAGCAAAAAACATAAACTCAAGCTAAAGGACAAATAAACAAATAAATACTTCACTAGACCTTCAGTGCCAACTGTCAAACATGTCACTGTCACTCTCCCACCCCCATCCCCCCATCTTCCCAGCCAGGGTTTGGTGTTTTAGGCTTAAAGTTTTTATCGTATATAATATCACAGAATAAAGTTAGGAGAATATAATTTGTATTGCTTGGAATCCTTGCAAGACAGAGAATAATTTGAACATAAACGTCATATATTTTGTACGATAAAAAATTTTGTTCTTTGTAATAAAATCCTTAAATTAGAACTAAAATTTGTATGTCTAATGCAAGCTATAGCATGTTTATATTCAAATTAATCACTATCTTATAAGAATTCCAGCAATGTTAATTATATTCTCCCAGGACAGTTCAGTGACATTTTATAAGAGAAAAACTTAAAAGTCACTCTTAAGGACAGATAAATAAATAAGCACTAGAGCCTTGGCATCAACTGTCAAACATATCACCTCACCTCCCCCTCCCCCCATTTCGAAACCCTTAATTTTATCTGCGTTGATTTATGAGTGTTTGTTTTAACATAATACTACAAAAAAACAATGTTTTGTTTATTCTAGGAGATGGGCTGAGGTGCATCTGGGTAGACATTCAGTCTTTTTAGTATTTTGTGTTTCTCTCAAGTACCAAACTAAATTCTTCCATTGAAACAACACTCCGATTTAGTGAGTATTCGGTTTAAAGCGACCCCTATTGGAACCTGTCTCATGCTATATCCACGTTCTACTGTACAAACTTCAGTTATATAATCACAAGAAAATCTCAAAAAGGCACAACTCATCTTCATCTACCATTGGGTGTAGCTGCTGGTTTCTTGTCCTTGATATTCCCCTGGTGGTCAAAGGAGTAAATATGTCCCACTGCATTTGTCTTGGTTTTTGTTGTGATTGTGACGTCAGCTACAGCACACAGCGATGACACAGCCTCACCCCGAAAGCCATATGAAGTCAGAGATGCTGCAAAATATTGTGGGATTGTATTACCGCTAACAACTTGAGTCAAGGTCTCTTATGAGTGTCATGCAACATATATTATCACTGGATGACATGATTAGATTAAGTTAGGTTAGTTATTGGTAGAGTGAGTTAGGTTATGTTACATGTTATGTATGGTAAAGTTGGGTTAGGTATGGTAGGGTTGGATTGGATTGGATTAGGTATGGTAGGGTTGGATTGGGTTAGGTATGGTAGGGTTAAGCCTAGTTCACACCTGTCGACATGCAGTTTGACTTGGGAACTCTGTCCGATAGTGTCTGTCAGGCTTGCCAGATGAGTTGTACATACCAGCAACTCTCATTCGTTATCTGCCAATGGTGTTGCAAGCAATGGCATTATACATATGTATAATATAAACAAACAGCAATTTGGTAGTACATAGCAACGTTTACAAAATAGCCTATTATATGCACATAATAGTTTTACAGCAGAGCCATCTGACACTGACATTTGTGGTGTCCAGAAGGGCGTCCTGATTGTGTGGTGATTGAACACCAGAAAAACTGTCAATGATCAGGCACGAACACCGATTGTGTCGGAAGGTGGCAGTTTCACAGTCATGCTGGAAGGCATATCGACAAGTGTGTACTAGTTCAAATACTGCTAGTCTACTACATTGGTTTCAGTAATTTGCTAAAATAGAATAAGATTTGAAAATGTATGTTATTTTTATTCAAACTTCGTACAGTGCATCCTTATGTAAGTTAGTATTGTAGTAAGGTTATTACTGTCTGTGTTTTAGCTATGTCTTTGTTCTGTAAATGTGGTTTTAAAAAATAAAACGGATTACCGGGTATATCTTTAGATTTACAGTACCGGTATATAAATTTCAAAGCTCAGAGTTACAAGTTTGGTTTATTTGGCTTTAAGATACTTTTATTTGAATGGACTAAAAAACTGGAATATTGACAGTTACATACAGTAGTTATATCAGAAGCAGAAATTCATACTTACTCATAGATAATGTAGATGTTTTTGAACTAGTTTGTTCATCAATAAATTGAAATATGCCATTTGTGTATTATTTACACCTGTGTGGCATGGCACTGCATGTGTATTTTTTCAATTTCAAATTAAATTTGCTAACGAAATAAACTATATTTCCAAATGATTTTCACTTTCTGCAAAGGAGATTCATTTGTCTTACTGCACACCCTGAGTCCTGAGAAGATGTACTGTATATATTTTACATTCCAAATAAAATTAAGGTTTCTGTTGAATCAGTTGATATATCTCATACATATTTAATTTTCTATTAATATCAGTACACCTGTATCACTAAATTATCGGATATTTCAAAGTATATCCGAGTATCGGTATCAGCAAAACTTTTTGTATCGGTACATCTCTAGTTCATTGTTATAATACTAAAGCTAATGGCCTTTCTTTCCCTTCAGAACATAAAAGTAACGAGCACGAGGTAAAGCATGCTTGAATAGAGTTCGTAAGGAATAGCACAAAGCAAATAACCTGTACTGTATTTTGTTTTTGGCAAACTAATGAAAAACCCATTTTGACCTTTTTTGTGGGGTCGAAGGGGTTAATTGCCAACCCTGAAAAAACTACCACTGTTAAATCAGACCACATTTAGTTCCATTGTATATAGAAAAAGGTGATGGCAAAAATTAAAGCAAAAATCACTGAGGCATAAGTTTGCTCGGTGCATTTAATATTATACATGAGAAATAACCACACTTATACTATGATATACTGTACCCAGGTCAGAGAAGGAGGTAATCTTAGAGGTGTAATGTGGCTTGGCAATAAACTCGACATCTCCTGTGTCAATACCGCTTCCATTGTCGCGAACTTCAAGCCGAGAAAATCCATGGTCTTCCTGAGAAACAAAGATACTGTATACCACATGCAAAAATATCACAGTACCTGTACCAGTAATATTTTTAACTTTTCACTCAATATTAACATTATTTACACCAAAGACTCCCCAACATTGCTTAACCTAAACGGACAAACCATTTTAATAGAGATTGCCTTGGCTTCAGCATCAAGTGAATTTTCTACAAGTTCCTTAACAATAGACGCTGGTGTGGTTATGACTTGTGTACTCTTGATGAGCCGCACAGTGTCTTGAGGGAGTGCGTGCATGGCCATTCTCTGATCCTATTACTATACTTATTTTATAGCTACTCTTAATACTGCTTTATTCACTGGGAGTCTGAAATAAAAATGCACTGCTGTAATAAAGATGTATTATTCCTTATTAAATAAATCTCTACAGTATATACAATAACTAGTAAAATTTAGGTTGAGGAGGTTGCCACGTTATTTCTAGATAGCAGATAGGATAGCTAGTCACCGATAAATTTATTCAAATATATAGAAATACATTTGTGAGAAAACATGGAAAAATTAATGTTAATTCGTCATAATGCAAAAGAAATATGAAATAAAAGAGGGACAATACAACAGTAAGCATAATAAGGTATTATAGCACAGAAATAAAACATTCTAGGCCAAGTAAAGATAAAATATGACAACTCTGATAGGGGGTTTAGATCCACTGTTTTTTGCAGTGGACATGGCCATAGTTTGGCCAAATGTGTTAAAATGGGGTTATTTCTAAACTAAATCAAACCTAACCTTAGCCGACGAGAAACACAAGCGGCCGAAGCAATGTTAGAAGATCGCACCAACCTACCCAATTTTCTGGCCAGGCATATTAAACAGAAATAACTTAATTTAACTGGGTGTAATTTGACATTTTTTATGGACGTGAGAGCGGACAACTACAGTGAGTGTGGATCGGGCCACCATACCATTTCATCGCCGAGAAAGACGAAGTACTGTGAGCCGAGGGGCCTAATTACCTACCAAATGAAGAATATGCCCAAGAAATGAATATCATATCCAAACTCAGTGATGAAAATGTATTAAGAAAAGATCCATCAAAACAAATGGTAATTTCTGAGAACAGTACTACCACCAGAAGTAGTTGCTTGATTTCGTTCATTTTTCCGGAGTAAGTACAGTATACTAAGTTTACCAATTTTGTGTGACTTTCTGACACCAAATACTAGTCAAGAAGTGATTGGCAGTCCGATTTATTCATCTAGGACCATTATTTGACTTCATTCCGGCTGTATTTGGCTACATTTGGGTAATTAGTCGGACCCCACCAAACTTCCCATTGTCGTTTCTATTTCCTCACTACCATCCAAACAACATCTCAAAATAATGTATGCAGTATTGGACGATTAGACAATCAGAGCGCACTCACGGTAAAATAGCGTTAGTAGGAACTTAGCCGGTCATGGGAAAATATCCACTACCCTTAACAGAGATACATTCCGGAGCTATTATATACCCACTACTTTACTAATAGCTCGTAACAGACACATGAACGACTGCACAAGTATAGCTGACAAACCTATCAAGGATAAAAAGAATAAATAATAAAGCAAATGTAGAGTAAAATAAAGTCAAAGTACCTCACGCTATGTTCAAGCCTCCCTGCCTTGTGTACCTCTAGCAAACAACACTTATTTCTTTTTTTAGAAGGTATTTATGATTGTTATTAATTTATAAATATTATTTCTGAGTATTTTATATATATATTTTAATGTAAGGCCGGTAGTTGCTATATCATATCGTATATTAAGTAATTCTAACAGTTTGGTAGGTAAATATGTTGTTAACTTGTTACGGTGCGCCGGGTATAAAAATTTCCTTGTTTTTTTTTTATTTATTTTTTACACAATTCCAAATAGTTTTAAACTTACAGGAAACTTATATATACTGGATGGTGAGTTTAAAGTGAGCCTAAACTGGTCTTGCAGTGTATGTACAATCAAAGACAAAAGTCGTGTCATGAAATTTAAAACTTTTGGTGAGCTCTGCCTTGTGGAAGAGGGCTCTCATAATGTTTCATGAGTTATATATAATCTTCGGTCAAAACCGCGACACGACTTTTGTCTTTGACTGTACAGTACAGTCACAATCCAAAGTGTCTTAACACGCCCCCCCCCCCCCATTGGCTGGAGGGAAGGCGAAGCCAAGGTTGAAGGCCAGGCGAACGGAATACACTCGTTCAACTCGATGGCAGGGTTCACATTGACAGCACCACAACAAAACACACAAGCACAAGTCTAAAATATGGTTCAAAACATTGACATGATATGGTACGTTGGTAGGGCTATATTTATTTTATGAATGTTGATAAATTACGCCAGCACAAAGCATAGTGCAGTGGTTCTCAACCTAGTTTGCTCCATGCACCCCTTTCACCATATGTCAGAATGTCATTCCCCCCTCCTTTCCAAGATTGTCTGCCTCAAAAAGTGCATTCCAAATAATATGCATATAATACTGAAAATCCTTTATTTTTTCCATATTAGTATCAGTTTTCCCCCCCCCTGAAAACCTAAGGGGGGGAAATTCCCCCCTGGTTGTGAACCCCTGGCATAGTGAGTGTCAGTTCTTCAACCTTGGCTTCGCCTTCCTTCCAGCGAGGAAGATAACCTTTTATTTTTATGTAAAGTATATAGTTTTTTTTTTTTTTAGTTTTTCGCTATCTACGATCATAAATTCTGACTGTACCTTTAGCATGCCAATACATATATATTGTGGCCGGGTGTGAATCATTTGTAGTTTTGATTATTTGTCATGTTACAATGCCTTATAACGACATACACGTCGCCGATTTTTCATAAAAAATGAATTTAAAAATGCCAAAATTTCACTGTTTTGCCGTGGACATTATCATAGTCTGGGCAAATGTGATAAAATGGGGTTATTTTACTTATTTCCAAATTAAACTTAACCTAACTTTTGTTGATAAGAAACCCAAGCTGCCGAGGCGTATCACATGTTCCAACTTCCAACAGGACGAAGAAACTGCATTGAGTCCGAATGTGAAAAGGACCTACTCCCCTGTAGGTGTCGACAATGAATTTAAATTCTCGGGTCATTGTGAGAAGGTGAATCAGGCAACGAATCGAGTAGGTCTTATAAGAAGGTCGTTTAGACATGAGTGGTCTGTCACTCGTCAAGATCTTCAAGAGTGAGGTGCTTCCCCGTCTGGTCCCCGAGGTGTGCTAGAGATTGTCAATTGATTGAAAATGTTCAAGGAAGGGCTACCAGACTGGTGACTGCTCTACGGAATCTCAGTTACCCAGAGATTGGAGCGCCTTTAACTACCTAGCTTATATTACTGACGGGCGAGGGGCGACCTAATCGGTGTATAAACATCTCGGGGGTCACAGGCTCACAGCTCAAGGTTGAAGAAGCCACTAGTCCAGAAAACTGTGAGGGCAATTTTTTTCGAAGTGAGAATTGCGACTCTTGGAACACTCTGGCAGAGTGTGAGACCAAGTGTAAGCTCATTCAAGGCCAGACTTAACCAACACTGGAGCAGGTTCAGATATATTCAGGAGCCAGTGCATGATGCCCAGTACCTGCCAACAGTGTGTAGCAGCGTATGAGACGTAACCGACCGCCCGAGTGGCTGACCTGGCGAAGAGGATCAAATTAGGTAAAAGAAACGTTGATAGAAGACCACACCAACCTCCAAAGAAACCTACTTAACTATACCTAATTGCCTCGCCGTTAAACAGAAAGAACTTACCTTGATATGGTGTAACTTTATTTTTTTGTGGATGTGAAAGTCCGAACAGATTGGCTCGCAAACAATTACTATACAAGCACTGAGTGGGGATGACAAGAGTCAGTCACAAAATTAAGCTGGATCGGGCCGCATTACCTTATTATCACCACGAAAGATGAGTAGTGCCGCTAGTGCTAGCCTGCCTAATTGTCTACCAAATGAAGCATTTGCGCAACAAATGAATACCTTATCCAAACTCAGCAATAAAAACAAATTATTACACCACTGGCATGTCGTTAATATTATTCATAACCTCTTTCTTGATATTTAAATAAGTATAGTACCTGTACTGTATATCTTCATATCAGAGGCGTCACAGGCGTGTCAAAGTAGTTTAACCTCTCCATACAGTAACACAGGTCCCCCACATTGTATTTGCATTATATTGGCTAAATAAACTGTTTTAATAGCAATATCTTAATACAAAAATGCTTTATGTTTTAGCTGTCATATGACAGGTGAATCAAGGTCGTTCAGATATCTAGAGTCTAGACCGTCCCTTGGCCGGTAATATTTTACAAGTGGACTATCAGCGATTTTAGGGTTTTCAACACCTGCAATAGATATATATCTCATCATTCTGATTAACTCATTCTATACACTTCTGTCGCAATTTAATTATAATCAGGGGCTGATCCAGGGTATCAGATCCCCCTTTTTATCAGAAAATTGCAATATTTTCACTCTAATTCAGTATTGTACTCATACGTTTTTGTATTGTAGAAATTAATTACTTTCGTGAATTACATGGCTTGGGAACTTCCGTGTTTTCTCTTTTCCAATGTGGTTATCAGCATAAACATGGATCATAACACACCTTGTGTGATTTATTTGCATTTTTTTTACGGGGATTAGCCCACCCGGGCACAGGTCATTGACCCACATCGGGGCCTGGGGGGCGAAAATGTAATAATAATAATAATAATAATAATAATAATAATAATAATAATAATAATAATAATAATAATAATAAAGAACCTTAAAGATATACTAAAACGAAAAAAAAGATCATTGGTGAGAAACAATATATGTATGTTGTGTTGTCAAAGTAAGAGAAACAATTGAGACCCAGCAATTGTGTGTAAATGAGGCAGAAAGTCAGATCAGCAACCTGGGACTTGGTCACAATTTTCGTGATGCCATATGGCAGCAGGGTCTACCATAGACAACACATTATGCTTCCAATATCTTCCCAGGTAGTACCTCCCTGTTTGGTAGCCTACCTACTATATATATATATATATATATATATATATATATATATATATATATATATATATATATATATATATATATATATATATATATATATATATATATATATATATATATATATATATATATATATATATATATATATATATATGTATATATATATATATATATATATATATATATATATATATATATATATATATATATATATATATATATATATATATATATATATATATATATATATATATATATATATATATATATACTTAACCTAGGTGTGTGTGGGGAACATTATAATACTGTACAGGGTTTGATAATATTGTGTTAAGACTCAGGCATGTAGTGTACAGGTGTGAATCATTAAGGTAATGTTAGCGATTACACAAGACATCCCATGGGTTGGCTTCAGAGACTAGCATACATATCCTCAGCAAACAACAACTGACTCACCTATTTCAAGCCTGTTAAACTTGCTCCACTTTTCGTTATAGCGATAAAAAAATATGATAGAAGGCATGAATTAAAAGGTGTTATTCTTTTATGTCTTTATTAAAAATGTAGATTATGATAACAACCTCTGTGAATCAGGTGACTGGAGTATGTCTGTTCAGCTGACCAACAGAGTATACATAGTTGGGAGTGGAGAACAGCAGTTAACTAAGTTGCCGGGGAGGAAGAAGTAAAGGAAGGGAAAAGGGACAAGATTTCTGAAGTAAGAGAGGTGTAGGTACAGTCACCCACAAAAGTCCTGTCTCCTCTCCTCTTGAACCAAGAACTTTGAGATTCAAACTCATGAACCAGAAGCATTTAAAAACAGAATAATGCATCGGTGTCTACTGTTTCGGGTTCATGAGTCTGAATCTCAGGGTTCATGAACAGCAAGAGAGGCGACAGGACTTTAGTAGGTGACTGTACATCAGCAAATCTGTAAATTAAGATTGATTTTTTTTTTTTTTGCATTTCATAGAAACAGAGTCTCATGATACCCTGTGTAAAGCTCCATAGTTTTATTATTTACATATGCCCATCACAGAACTATATGAGCCCGTGTTGTATTGAATAAATGTTTTACTTGTTAATATTACCTCTGTTGCTTACTTGGGTCCCCCAGAATTTCCTTGAACAAAGAAATAAGCAACCAAAATTAGGATTAGTATACATGATTTTTTAACTTATAACATAAGCCATTATATCAATCATTATTAGGTGCAGGAAACAAAACAAAATAATATATGAAGTACAGTATGATAGTTTAGCATACCAGTATTTGCAAATTACTGTGTGCCCAAGTGCTAGATGGAAGCATAACAGCAGTGTGAGCAAAACTTTAAGCACTTTTTTTCTCGGCAGCTTTCAATCACTAGAGCTGGCCTAAGCTTCAAGCAACACCAGTGTAGAACAGCACCTTGCATGTGGGATGACAGCCGTGATATAATTACATTAATTTTTAAATTGTTGGCACTCCAGATAGGAATGCATCACACTAGATAACATGGCAATACCATAATTCATAATACAAATTTCTTATTTTTGTAAAGCTAATCTAGTAATACCAATAAGGAATAATGCATATAACAGAACCTTAAAAAATTTGGTCAGCAATTGCATCAGAGTTTAGAGTTACTCTGTGCTAGGGAAACTTGAATTCATGTAGCAAATAATATAACAATGATGGGGAAAGAAAAAGAAAGCACCAAATTTCTGACACTGGCAAAAATTTGCAACTCTAATGTCTCATATTAACTGTAATAGGTCTATAGACACTAACGTCAAAAATTTCAATTGTACGTATATAAAAAAAGGGGTAACAATTCTGGAATATCTAATTATAATTAACAACCATCAATTAATATATTTTAAAATTTGTTTATCTACAAATTAACAAAACCTGACACAGGTTTCTTTTTAAAACACAGAAAACAATTTAGTGGTAAGACATGAAGAATAACAAATACCAAATTCCCCACCAGTCTATAATAATATTAAATGCTGGGCACTAGGTCATTAAATTCAGTTTATGAATAATCCCTTCTGATAATCTTTTCAGAAAAAGTAATTTTAAATGCCCCTTTTCTTTTCTTCTTTTCTTCCTTTTTTATTTGCTGCGGACACGACCATCTAGAAACTGTTGTGAGGTGAGAACATTAATCTTATTATTCTATGGACTCCAGTAATCATCTTCACTACCAGTAACATTGACAGCAACATAAATAAAGTGTTACAAATATCCTCTCAGGTGGCAATGTTGTGACGTGGATTATATAATGGTGTGCTGCACAGATATCCATTGATTACTGGATGACATATCTGAACAAATATTGTAACCTGTTCGTGGATCACAAGTGGTGTAAGTCTATGCTTTACAATAAAAGATTACCAACAATTACATCATAATCTGAGGAATTGCAAAAAAATATTACATATTACAGTACAATCAAAAGCTAAATTGAAGCACATCATAAGTGTGGATGAAACAAGGCTGTAAAGCTATATACCATTGTACTAAAATGTGTCAACAGTAATATCAAATTGAATTAAAAACATTATATCTTAAATATTTTTTGATAAATTTCTAATTTTTCTATTCTACAGTCGACTAGTATTTGCGTTATGACACAACCGATATCAAACACATAAGAATATCGGAATGTTATTCTTCCATAATATCAAATAATACAAATTGCAACATATCACATGTTAGGTAAGGAGCACCATTCATGTTAGTGTGGTTACAGAGGCACATTTGGGTAGGGAAACTTCCGAGCCAATCTTTGTAGGTGGCATTAGTGTTTTACCAGCTAGGTATTAAAAACATGAATATTCCTGACAATTGCACTCAGTCATGTAATTTTTGTGTTGTCAGTCCATCTGTGAACCTAATCTGTAATGTTCTTTGGTTCACAGATGGTGAAATTCATCAAAGTTCCTGCAGGCACTATATCAAGCACACTATGCCACCTCCACAGCCTTATTTTTTTATTTTATCCCACTGCTATATTTCTGTTTGGCGGGACATAAAGAATGTTGGTGCAGGAATACGGGACCCAACACCGGCCTTTCTTGGGGCAACTTTATGAGAACTATTTGGGCTGCTAGTACCACCATTTACATTTATTTTTGGATCTAAACTCTGACTTCCACTACTAGACACATGTGCATTCACCCAGGAGGTTGTGTACTCTTGGGCTAGTTCTGGTGGTAGGGACTTGCCTTCAGCTGCTAAGCTCTCAGATACTTTTGCCCTGAGGGAATCATATATATCCTTGATACACAGGAGAGTATTTTCATCTGGGTCAAGGTCAGCAAGCTGTTTAAGTACTGGCCCACTGCTAGTTGGTGATGTGAGGGTGGATCCTGGTGCTGAACGTTTTGGGGAACGATTTAGAGGTGTAACTGGAGCCGAATGTCCAAAATGTCGCCTTGTGGTAGCTGGGGATGCTGATGCTGAACGTACTGTTCGAGGGGTTGTTGGTGGTTTATAGGTATCAGTTGTGAGGCTTGGACGTTCCCGTGAAGCTCTACCATTCCAAGTATTCTTTCCTTGTGGTCCGCCTGAGCTTGATGGACGTCTTGCTGTTGGCCTCAGGGGTTGGCGTGAAGGAGATTCTCTACCTAACATCATAAGGCCGCCCTCACTGGTAGCACTGCGGCTGCGACTTATGATACGACTTCCACGATCTTCACTGTTCCGACGTAATCCAGGCCCTGAATTCCATGCTGGTTTTGATGGAGATTTTTCTTCGGGGACTGAAGTTTTCTTTGACTTTTTTGTTCCCATAAATGGACCCTTCAGTGAATCAATGAAAGGTATTTTTGATTTGGGTATACTGCTGGAATGCTTTTGTTTATTTTGTGAAGGAGGTGACCAGGTGTTGGTTGTGTCTGACAGAGGGTAGTGTGGAGGAGTGGTTGTGGGGTTTGTTGGTGAACGTGGTGGAGTGTTAACTGAGTCCTCCGTTGACATTGATGATCCTTCTGATGACATGTGTGTCATGGAAGATTCTGGACGTTCTGCAAAAAAAAAAAAAAAAAAAAAACGTTATTGCGCTTGTAAACACAATAAAAAAAATCAATAGGAGAAACATTTATAAATTTATTACTCTCTTCCCAAATAATCCTGAGAAACACCTATGTATAAAAGATAGTGTCACTGTTTGTCCTTTCTAGAATTTGTCAGAGATAACAAAAGAATCTAATTCAATTCATATGCTACTGCTAGTTACTGTTTTATTATTTGAATATGAAAGTTAATATGTTTATCTACTTAAGCACACCTAGAATAATACAAACGCCAAAAATCACCATTGAAAATTCAGTTGATGATTACAGTACAATAATTAGCGCTAAAAACTATCTAAAATTTTCCAAGTCTTTAAGAAATGCAGTACTGTACAGATACATTCAGGAGCCAGTACATGCCCAGTACTTGCCAACAGTGTATAACACAGGTGTAACCGACTGCCCAAGCAGCTAACAAACCAATCGGTAACGAAGGGGATAAAAGTAAAGTAAGTAAAAGTAAAATTAAAAATTACAACTAATTACCATAGAGATTTAATCAGTGTTAAGGAGTACCTATACCATACTGAGATTTTGAACAAAACCAAAATGTAACATAATTTTTTTTTATGTATGTCTACCCTGCTCTGTGATAACTTCTGTGCATGTAAGAAATGTTTATTCCCTTTATGCTTTTTACTTTATGTAGGGTTTGTATGTATGCATGTATGTAGGCGTGACTGAAGCAGATGCGGTATGACAGTCTGGGCTAAGTCCCGGCAGCGTGTGAGGGAACGTCATCACTCCGCGTGAGTGTGACTGAGAGGTGGGAGTCGAGCGCTCGGGGTGATTAGAAGCTACGCTCTCTGTAAGGACATCTCGTTATTAAAGACAAGATAACTCTCCACACTATTATTGGACCTCCTACACTTTATAATTAAATTTTTTACACATTCTGTATGAGAGATTAAGGGTGCATGTAACAAAGTTAAAAAAAAAATAAAGAAAATTACATATGTCCATCCAAAATTCTTGTAGTAACAGCTGGGGGATCACAACTTACTACTGTACTGTACACATACATATCATGTATGGCAAATTAAAAAAATAAGTCTTTGTTTTGAAAAAATTTATATTTTTTCTATATTTTGTATAAATTTATTGATTTTATGTCAATTTATAAACTATTTGAGTTATTTAGACACTATTCAATCATTATATAGCAGCAGGTTATAAAACTTGTTTGGGCTCGTCAGGGGCTCAGGAATGGAACCTATTTCCTCCCGTAAGTTATTAATATCGATATACAGTACTGTATGATTGATCACTTAGCGATGTGTTTTTGAGGTCCCTAACGCCATCGTATACTGATCATTGCCAGCATACCGGGTAGTTAAAAAAAGTAATGCCAAAATATAATTTCTCTATAGAAATGCTAAAAGCCCCTCAACTGATGCCCATAGGACCCTTTGCTTAGCTCTCATACAATGTCACTTGGACTATTTCTGTTCATCAAGGTATTCTGCCTCAACACAAAATCTAAAATCTAAGCAATAAATTGTTCAAAACAATGCGGTGAGATTCATTCTCGACATGAACACGAGAACACATTGGTCATAACGTTCTATAATCACTGAATATGTTAAGTGTGGCACATAGAATGAATGATGATGAATCATGCTAACTGGATTTATATGGGCTGTGCATAGAGTATCTAACAACAAACTTTGCAAGTATTATAGAGGGAGTGAACATAATTTTATAGTACTGTATCTGGTGTCCACAGTCAGGCAAAAAATATTTTCTTCTTTACTGCTAAAACAGATTGGAACAAGTTACCAGACTACATCAAAATCAGTTTTGGTATTAAACAATTCAAACCTAAAACAATGAAATACATAGCAGATGATGCTACAGCAAGAGAAGAGAGTGAATTTCTATATTATTACCCCGATAACCAAAGAGTGTTGTACTGTAGTAGTAATCCATCAGCGTCGGATAGTCCAAGCGCAATGTAATGCTTGTTGAATTTTACCCAAAAGCTTTCACTAATACTCTTAGAGACATATGTACCATTACTGATTAGAGATCAAGCATAAGCCTAAGTAAAGGACCCTCCTGGAAATAGCACCTGACAGCTTTTTCAGCTATCCTTGACCAATTTGCCTTACTGTTTACCATTGTTGTTTACCTGCACTGTCTCGCCATACAAGAAACTGTATGCTCCTATGGTCTACGTGCAATCATGCACCACATACAGTGGGGTATGCTATAACGAATGGATTCTACTACGAATATTCCTATAACGAACGGTTTTACCTATAAAATTGAGAATGCTATAAAGAACGAAACTCCAACAGCAAATTTTTTTTTTTTTTTTTACTAATTTATTGTTTTTTATATTACAAGTATTAATGATATTCTTTATTTCAGGGGTTTAGATGCATATTTATGCACTTTTTTAAAATTTTTACAATTTTATATTATATTTTCAGTGTTAAGTGGTTGTATTTGGGGGCCTGGAACGGATTAATCCTATAACGAACATGCTTTTTCAATTGTAAACTTGTATGACAATTTTACTGAATAAATAGTAATATTATTATTATTATTATTATTATTATTATTATTATTATTATTATTATTATTATTATTATTATTACTGTATTGTTATTATTATTATTATTATTATCAACCTTGGAAATAGCAAAATTCTGTCATCTAGGAGGTTCTCTCAAGGGAGATACTGTACTGTTTGAGTTCAGAGGGTTAAATACAGTCCACACCAATGGTGGTCTGAAGACATTCTAAACTTCACAAGTCAGTGCCAACGGCAGGCTGAGACCCTTCCAGACCTCACCGGTCCATGCTAGTACTTATAGCCATATAAAAAGTTGTACTTAATTTGTATTATAGACAAAGGAATTCTTCCTACCAGAAATGTCTTGGTTCTCCTGTATGTTAACATATCAAAAATATAATGTAAGTCATGATGGAATGTACCACAAATAAAATCATAGTTTATATTCGGCAATTAAAGAGAAATTTTCATATTATTTACTTAATGATTGATAGATTACTCACCTATTATGTCAGTATTATCCACCTCTAGGTTATTCCTGGGTGTGGGTTTACGAGCTCTGGGTAAGGAACGGCAAGCAGTATTTCCTTGACTCTTATAACCCTCATCGCTAACCTCTGAGGAGTCATCACGCCATGCTGTTTGTTCATCTCTAAATCCTGATGTTGGTCCCCATTTGCCTGTACTCAATCTGTAATAAATAGAAATAAGTGAGACAATAAAATTTATGTAACTAAAAATAAAAATTACCACAGTAAATACTAGTTATAAAAACTAGTGTTTCAGTAACTTAAAAAATCAGTGGAGGATCTGAGAGAGAGAGAGATTCAGTCGAACACCCCTTTTCACATAAGACCCACTTGATTTATGATCTGTGCAGATAATTTACCTCTACATTAGCACCTGCCTCTGGTCAAGTTATCAACATTTTAAAGGAACTGCCAAGTGAGAGTCTGTAGATGTAAGGTGACAAGAGTTATGACCTCACATGACAAGGGTACCACCACTGACACCAGATTATGGGAGGGGGGGGGGTGGAAGTTAGGGTAGATGATAACAGGTGCTGGCTCTGATGCAGATTCACTACACAAAAGAATTAGATGTCAGCAAAATTGGGGTTAAGTTTGCCATCAAGACATGGGTTAGGACAATCGAGGAGCAGGACAGGAGGATGATGTATGGCAGGTCCAGGAACCAAACAAAGTCTGAGTGTAGAAGAGCTGAAACAGAGTTCCAGAGGCAGATTGTAAGCAAGGTCAAGTTAAACCCAAAGGCTTTCTACCATTCTACCATTATGCAAAATCGAAATTAAAAACGTGTATAGGCTTGAAGATGGTAATTACAGAGATTCAGTCCATTGCAAGGCAGAGGCATTAAATAAATTATTTTCCTGTGTTCACAAGAGAGGATGTTAACAATCTTCTTGCGTTTGAGGAAAGACGGTTTGACACAGTGCTGACCCACATTGTGTTCTCAGAAGAGGGTATAAGAAATAAATTGTCAAAGCTAAAGGTTCATAAGAGTCCCGGCCCTGACATGATGCATCCCAGAGTGCTAAGGGAGTTGTGCAACGAGCTTGCTGAGCCCTTTAAGATCCTGTTCTGTAAATGCCTGGATGAGCAAAAGGTCCCCAGTAACTGGAGAATGGCTTATGTGAGTGCTATATTCAAGCAGGGCGATCATCACTCCACAAATAATTATAGACCAGTGAGTCTGACCAGCATAGTATATAAAGTACTTGAGAGCATTATAAGAAATGCCATGATGGAATATCTACTACGAAACAACCTTGTAAAAGACTGCCAACATGGTTTTATGCTGGGACGTTCCTGCTTGACAGTTACTCAAAGTGCTGGATGTTTGGAACAGGGTGGTAATATTGACAATATAGGGTGTATATCTGGATTTTGCCAAGGCTTTCGACAGTGTACCCCATGAAAGGGTGAGAATTAAACTGGAGGGGTATTGGATTCAGAGAAGTGCCCTAGCATGGATTGGAGACTTTCTTCATGACCACAAGCAGTGTGTGGTGATTAATGGCATGAAATCGTCATGTCTACCCATGACAAGTGGGGTATCACAGGGCAGTATACTGGGCCTGTTATTGTTTGTTTGTTTTATAAATGACTTGCCAGAAGCTATACACTCCTCCATGCAAATGTTTGCGGATGATGCCAAGTTATTCAGGGAAATTAAGAAGCAAACAGACTATTAAGAGCTACAGAAGGATCTCTGACAGCTTCAAGAGTGGTCAAAGAAATGACTGTTAAGATTCAATGTCACTAAGTGTAAAAGGATGCACCTAGGTCATACCAACAGTAAGGAGGCGTATCACACGTTCCAACGGGATGAAGGAACAGCACTAATAGAGCCCAAATGTGAAAAGGACCTTGGCGTGAATGTTGACAATGAAGTGAAGTTCTCAGGCCATTGTGAGAAGAAAGTGAATCGAGGTCTTATAAGAAGGCCATTCAGATAAGTAGATGATCTGTCCCTCATAACGCTCTTTAAGAGTGAGGTGCTTCCCCGTCTGGTCCCCAAGATATGCTAGAGACTGTCAGTTGATTGAAATGTCCAAATGAGGGCCACCAGACTGGTGCCTGCACTAAGGCACCTCAGTTATCCAGAGATTAGAACACCTGCAACTGCCTAGCTTATACTATAGATGGGTAAGGGGTGACCAAATTGAAATTTATAAGCATATCTGAAGCTGGCGACCGTCCGCCCCACAAGGGGTCACAGCTCAAGGTTGAAGAAGCCACAAGTCCAGAAAATTGTGAAGGCAAACTTTTTCAAAGTACAAATTGTAACTCTTGGAACAATCTGCCAAAGAGTGTTATGACGGCACTGAGTTTGAGCTCTTTCAAAACCAGACATGGCCAACACTGGCGCAAGCTCAGGTATATTTAGGAGCCAGTACAGTACTTGCCAACAGTGCGTAAAAGAGACGTGACCGACCACCCAAGCTGCTAACAAGCCGATCAGTGGTGAAGAGGATAAAAGTTAAAAAAGTAAATGTATGTTTACAATTTACAGCACTGTATTTGGCATAAAGCTTACCTCCCAGGTCCTAAGCGCGCAAAGGCAGCAGGGTCCCGGCTTGCAGGTGATTGTGATCTTTGACGCATGGAATAACTACTTTCCAAAGAGTCTCTCCTTAATCCTCTTGCACCTGCACTTGACCTACGACGTGGGGATGGTGAGGTTGGTATCTGGCCATCTTCACACCTGCAATATATTCATAATGCGTCAAATAAGTGGTTTAATAAAAACACAATTGCTACATTAAATTGCTACAAACTGGATACACCTAAAAACTCAATAAGAAACCTAACACTGGAGGATATAGCTACAGTATATGGTACAATCTTATGACAATAAACTCTAACACCACAGTTTATATTGTATGATTGGCATCTTTATACAGGTACAGGGGTATTATAAATTTCTTAAACTAAAAAAATTTCTTTGTACAGTAGCTACAGGATACACTTAACATTAACTTTAAGCAAAAGCTAAACCATTAATGCTACAATCAAGTACGTACAGTATTAAAGTTATGTACATGGCTTCAAATTATGTAACAAATATCTTCAAAGACATACCCAAACTACTTTTTCTTATGCATCACTATATAATGGTTCCAATTTTATAAAGAAACACAGTTTACTTTTGTAAAAATGTCCAAAAAATTTTCAATATATTCCCATCAAAAAAAGGGGATACAGCCTCTGGTTGGTTATGTTTAAAGAACCCTTCACCTAAGAGAAGAGAATAGTGATTGTTCAAGGAAAAATGGGATTATTTTTCCTGAAGTCTGGGTAAATAATGTCTTGTCCTACCACTCCCTTTAATACAGGGTGATTCAGCAAAGAGTACGTTAAATTGGATGATGGAATCCTTGGATAATTCTAAACCACAATGTCTCTATGGTAAAATGTCAGATTCTGCATTGTTTCCATGTTACTTTTACTTTTGTCCTCTTCACCACTAATCGGCTCGTTAGCCGATTCGGCGATCGGTCACGTCTCTGCTACTTTTCTTTTTCTTTATATAAGATGTTGTATTAATGAGAGTCAATTTGATGAGAAACCCCCCCATAGGTTTTTGTAATCATTTATCCACAGATATTTTATGTACAGCAGTACCGTGTGATGCAGATGTCTAACACAGGTGCAATGAGACAGGGACTGTGTACGACCGAATGAGATAAAGGCAGTTACAGGGCGGAGGGGATTCACATCAAATTCACTCTCATTAATACAACTTAAATATATTGTAACATGGAAACTATGCAGAATCTGACATTTTACCGTAGAGACATTGTGATTTAGAATTATCCAAGGATTTCATCCTCCAATTTAATGTACTGTACTCTTTGCTGAATCACCCTGTCTATCTAATCATACATTTCAAGTTTAAAATAAAACACGATTGCCTTATATATTGAGTAAATATTAAAAGAGATACAGTGAGTTGCATTCCCCTTTAATGAAAAAGTTATCAGAGTCCAAATACTGTACATGTACTGCATTCAAAATCAGAATTTTATGAGACTGTAGTACTAAATGCTTAAGCCCCAAAAAATCATCATTCAATTCTTAGCATAACAAAACCTAAGCATTCACAGCAAAGGGAGATGCACAAACCACAAATAAATCATATAGTACTATTTAACAAACTGTCCCCAAAACCCACCACATGAAACTGGAGTGCAACAGCCAATCTAAGCATTTTGTGGAACTCTTATGATGATCCTTTTTCTCAGGCTTAGAGTACTGTACTGTGTAATCCAGGTTGTCACAGTGGGTTTCATTATCATTTAAGGCAAGTGTCTTTAAATATCTCATGTTGTAGACAATTCACAGTACAGTACAGTAAAACCTCTATTTAACAGACTATATGTAGAGGAACGTCTGTTATATCGAGGGTCCATTAAATATCAAACCTCCATCTAACGGACTATACTATAGAGATCAAAGTCCATTATATTGAGGGTCCGTTAGATGTGAAAACCCAACCTAACGGATTATATTAAAAGAGAAGTCCATTATATGGAGGTTTCACTGTAGGAAGAACAGGTATTGCAACATATCACATAACTTGGCAGTGAAACCAAACACAATTTAATCATACTGTACTACTGTATCTGTGCACATTCTCCTGCAAAAATAATAATCCCATAAAGCAATACATTCACCAGAAACCACAAATCAAGATTTAACATTCCAAACCATATTAAAATCACTGGTCTGTAGTTTTAAGTACATGGATCATTCAGCAGAAATGCCACAAAAATCAATTGCTTAAGAATTTTTATTTGCATTAACGTCAATTTCTAACCTTATCATACTCTGTCCTGTGACCTCACATCATAGACACCTCTTGTATTGAAAGTAGTGTCTTTTTGCAGGATTCTTGTACAATACTGTGTTCCATTTCAAATTAACATCCCTTGCATCCCTTGTTTACAGCCACTGCATCAATCTATAGCTAAAGTCTTTGTGCAGGAGGACCATATGGCTCCCCTTAAAGTCCATGAGTGAATAATATCAAGATGTATTTGACGCCATGCTTCAGTGTTCATTTTCCTAATTCATTTTACCCGTAAGAGATGGCCTCCCTTTCTTCCGGATAAAATATTTAGTATCATTATCATGCTTCTTGCTGTGTCTCCATAGGGACAAGCCACTTGGTAATTTTCTATTTTGGTTCTTACCTAGTCACTTGGGTTTCTCATATTCAGCCACATGTAGCTAATTTTCCCTGAAAGGGATGCTATATTATACTATATTAAATAGTCTTTCAGGTCTTCTTAAAAACTATACATTTATCTTTTACTATTGTTAACTTAACCTTGAAAATAGTTCTTTTTCTATTTATTATTTTCTGGAATTAAGTTTGTGAATTTGTAAATCCATTTTATTCCTCAAGAAGTTCTTCAAAGTGTATTGGCATCACTACACCTAACATGTTTACTATATGCACATTAATTCACACATGGGTACTTGATCACCTTGTCTGTGGCCCCAACAATACCACACATGCTGACTACTTTGAACCATCCCCATTTCTTGGGCTGTTCTCTAATATGTCATTAAAATGTAATTAAATACTGTAATGACTTGATATTTTTGTTTTAGTTTTGATAAGGATATGATACGAATCAAGAGCAACAGATATAGAATTATTAGAAGTTTACATTTTGGCGTTATCTTGTGATATATATTCACACAGTCCTAAGTGGGCATCCTTATCTACTGCATTGTAATATGCCTTGAGATTATATAAAGTACAGTATATATGTGTGTGTGTGACTACTGAACTAAAATAGATTAATGATTTAATCTTTTTCTTTTTACAAACATCAAAACATGTTATATACAGTACTAGTAATCATTAATACAGTGTACATACTGTAATTTCTTGCTGTATTCATGTGTTCAAAGTGTTAATATTGTTTTGTTCAAATAAGGTGAGCCACTCTCAGGTTTTCTGATGCATTGATATCTGCTGATATATTCTTCAATCAACTAAAACTTAGGTCAAAATGCCTTTTATAAAATACTTTTCAGTGATATCTGGTGAATCATAAATAAAATTCCATTGTCTAGTCATTATCTGAACACACATAACTTTTCTAAAGCAGGATTATTCACTCAGTATACTGAAGGTTTTGGCTGGATACTTTGTGATAATAAAAATGGTTTGTTTGAGTCCTTTAACTCCTGTGATAGGCCCTCATCTGTTAAGATTTGTGATACATTTAGATGAAATGACTCGCTTTCTATATTCTGATTTATGAGATCTTCTGTTGGTACTGTACTTGTTACTTTCCCTGTATCCCTGCCTCCTGAATCTTGCTGTGTAGCTCCAACTTCAGAGTCGACTGTTAATTGTAACTTATCCACATCAGATGATAAAAATACTGTTACGTTCTCTTTTGAATACTGCTTTATAAGTCTGGTTGGTGATTCCTCCAAAATATTTTTCACCTGTCCATGATATATGCATTTGTCTTCTGAATCTTGCGATGCATTATTCTGTGGTAATTCATGCTGTACATCCTTGTTCAGTGTTGGTGCTGGGTTCGACAATGTTTCTGGTGTTAATCTGTTAGTAGAAATATTGTTGTGTGATTGATGTGATATCCTTGTACTTGGCACTGGTATTCCCCTGTGTGGTGATGGTCCCTTCTTTGACAACAAACTTGATGTCCCCTGAGAAACATTTTGTAGAAATTCTTTACTTGATTTCTGTGATGCTGCTTCTGTTGGTGAATGGATATGAATGGGTATTTTTGAGTCTGGTTTATTTTGTGTAATTCTTATCCCATCAGTTGGAAAATGTTTTGATGCTGCTTTATTTGGGGATAAATGTGGTAATCTTTTCTTAGGAGAACACGGTGAACACTTCTTGTCTGGCGAGTTCTGTGATTGCCCTGGTTTAATGGATTGATTTGGTTCACACTGAGAATTATGCAAGTTCCCCTTACTTCTAGGCATTCCTTGCATTTCCATTTTTGGTGATCTGTGAACTATGTCTTTTCTTAAGGAGTGTTTTATTGATCCCTTTCGAGATGAAATTGGTAATTTTCCCTTTTTAGGAGAACTCAGTGAAGATGTGTTTACCTGAGGGGGTTGTAGTGTTTTATTACCTACTGACACTTGTGCATTTTTATTTTTTGTCAAGTCCTGAGAAGTTTCAGAATTTGCCTTCTGTAATGTTTTAGGTATCTTACTTACTAGGGACCTTTGTGATACTCCTGTCTTCATTTCATCTTTGAACAGTAATGTTTGTGGTTTTGTGGTTGGACATATAACTTGACTGGACTCTGGTTTCTGTCCCAAAATGTCTGTTGTTGCTGGAACGGATAAACTGTCTTTCAATTCCTCTCTGGCAGGTTTCATATACTCCCCTGATGTATGCAGATTTTTTTTTTCGATCCAATTCAAAGTTGTTTTTTTGGTTTTGTCTTCTAGTTTAATTTCTTCCCTACATTTCTGCAGATAACCAAAGGGTTTTTCTGTGGAAGTTTGTTTACTGTCAATTTCTGGATGTATAATATCTGTTGCTTTCTTTGCTAAATATTTTCCCCTTGAGTGACATTCAAGTGGATCAAGTGTTGCTGTTCTACTTCTTATAGTTTGGCCTATTGCTTCATTTATTATTGGCAGTGATGAGGACCTACTTCTCTCAGAAGACACTTTCAGCCTTTGAATACTGTGTTGTGGCATTATATGACTGCCCTTTGATGGAACGATCTTCATATCTTTCTGTACAGGTTGCAAGGATGCTGTTTCATTTAACATCTTTTCCTCAGAACTGTTACTAATTTGAACTCCAGCCTTTTGTGATGTCAGAGTTAACTGCTGATTAAATGTAGCCTGTTCAACATTTTCACATTTGTCTGTTTCTCCCAAGTTATCTGTCTCTGTCTGGATTATCACATTTGATAAACTGGCTGTCCTTCCTTTATCTGCTATTTCCTGGTTGGGTAGTTTTTCCAGTAAAGAACTGGTAGATGTATGAGACTTTGCAGTTTTATCTCTTCCCTTATGTACAGGTGATGTTAGTTTGGGTGTATCTTGCTGCAAAGTCACTCTATCGCTGAGTGATCGTACTGACATAATTTGGGTTCCTGCAGACCTTTTTCTGAATCTATGGGAAAATATTCAAACAATTTAGTCTTTAAAGAAGTGACACATATTCTCATATGCATTGTAAATACAATATATACATGCCAGAGAGTACAAGACCATGTGGCAGATCCCTGTGTCCTATTTTACTGATCAACAATGTGAATATTTCTTTAACTGAATGACATATAATAATACTGTCCTCAATTTTAAGATGAATTACTGTACATTCATTTCAGCAAGAAAGGTCAGTTTTAAAACCATAAGAGAGCCAAAAAAGAAGCACATAGTGTAAACAGCTACTGACAATCTTTTCTATTACAGTATAGTACTGTACATGTATAATACTACAGTACTATACTGTATATTTACCTCATACTTTTATTATCATATGTAATATATACCACTGTATTAATATAGGTATTAATTTCCTTGTATTACTACACCCAAAGCACAACAGCAAACTGTAAGTTACTGCCATATAACCATTAAACAGCCCACAACAGCAATCTAATATGTATTTCCTCATATACTGTACAGGATTAAAGTTAATTAAGCTTAGTACAAGTATATCATAATTTAGTTTGTTTAAATGCATAAGCCAAATTATATACCTGTACAGTATATATTATTAAAAAGCTTATATTTTTCTGCATATCCCCAGAAGCTCAGGAAGAACTCATAAAATGTTATCCATAAATGAGACAAATTTTCAGAATCTAGAGAATTTCCTCTATTTGTTACTGTTTAGGCTGATACCTTAAGTGATTATCCTCGTGAATCACTACATCTTGAATTGTTTTCTTGAATTATATGATTAGTGATTTTAGTTGCTAATAGTTTCTGATAAAGGAAAGCCTTCAATTTCAGAAAAGTAAGTCTCATTTATGGGGGAAGGGATGAGGGTTCAGGATAACATAGTTCAACCAGGGGCGGATCCAGGAGGGTGTCCTGGGGGTCCGGACTCCCCTTTTCATCAGAAAATTCCATTGCTTTTTCTTCATAAAGTATTGTACTCAGGCATGTTTGTATAGTAAAAAAGTAATTACTATTGACCTCAGAATATCATCTAATATCCAGTGTACATGGCTTCAAAATGACCTCAAAATGCCCATGATATTGTTCAGATTAAAATAAAATCTTGTGGGGTTAGGGGTGCCTTACAGCACCCTCCAAAACCCCCTAGCTGGGTGGGCTCACTGTACTCACCATGTTCCCCCCAGCCACAACTTCTTGGACACCCCCCACCCCCCCTTTGACATTCCTGGATCAGCCCCTGCAACCTGTAATGCTGCATAAGCTATGTTATATTGTGAAAGAGTAATTAATGTGTTCGTGTTTGATCTGATCATATCTCCGCAATTATTGCTGTAATAAAAAAAAAAGGCCAGTTTCCTATACAGTACAGTGCAGTATATACTGTAAATGCATTCATCCATAATATTTAGGTTTTACAATCTGTACTCTGCTTTAGGGGAAATTTCATATATAAAGGTTTCATCCTCCCAAAACACATCCTGTAAAAGTTTATCTTACCTTTCATAAGTAACGTTCATCAGTTGACGCTCTAGACCACCACTGGAGGTTTTGAACCCTACACGTGACCCAACAGCAACTCTGTGACCTGCAAGGTGTTAATGTATTAGTATTGCACCAACATACTGATACTAACAGCTCATAATTATAACACACCATGGCAGTACAACTTCAGTTACGAAAACAGGTATAATTTTACAAACAAATGAACCCTAAAGACTTTCACATTTTCAACAGTGAGTACAGGTATTTCAAAGTATCTCATACATATTTGTTCAGTCAGTCTTCAGTACTGTATATCAATAGTGAAACACATAAAAAAAACGTTATCTAAACTTAGATGAATTGTATAAATGGTGTCTTGTAATTTGTCATTATTTCAAGGGCCATTACTGAAAACTAGTTATTAAATTTTGAAAATTTGGGTACTCTGAACCTCAAAGGTCCACTGCTACAGCAATGAGCACTTCCATCTCAAAATATCAAGCAGAAATACAGTAATTACTGTATTGTGTGTTCATTTTTGTTGCTGCTCAGTTATCTAAATTCATTAATTTATCATCTGTAGAGATTCACCATCATCATCCATGTTTTACTGCAATTTTCAACATGTGCGTGGGTTAGCTGTAATTATCTGATTGGCAGCTCTCCACGCTGCACACTCTTGCAGCCTCTCTTGTCAAGTTCTTAACTCTAATTTTGGTTTGATGATCTAACGTGATGCCCAAGCTACATACAGAAAAAAAATTTCATGATAAATATATGGACATGATGTAGGGAGAGACTGACCTTGGCGACACCTGCAGGGGTCATGCTTGTCCAGGTAGTGTTCGAGGGTGTCCCAGCCACCACCTACCCGCACCATCACGTGGTTCCTCAAGATCTGTGAATATAAGTATTGGTTGGGTTGACTCTACCTCCTCTATACCCAGTCCCACTAGCACAACTACTTTATTCAGGATTATTCAAGGCAATCTACAATGATACACTTAAGATCCGAGTGTTCTTTAATTCATTATAGTATCACATTTTTAACCTGTAATAGAAAAAAATTACAAAGTGTCAGGGAAAGTCGCTTACTTGCTGTCCAACACACACAATGAAAAGAAGTACAAAAAGCAAAGAGAAAGGGTGTGAGAGACGCGTTGGGGACTCACCCTGACAAAGATGAGGACGCGAGTGTCACCGATGCGGTACTTGCCCTCGGACACCTTCACCATGGGGAACTGTGATGGACATGAACATCGCTCCACCAGGTCCCGCACCTGTAATGTAAACAACACTGGTTAGCTCTCATACATACTAATACCTCATGGACGTCTCCCTCTTCCCCCATCTTATTTCCCTTGCTGTTAAGGTACTATAAATATACACTGCCATCTCAACTCTGTAAGTCATTTTTTAACATATCCCATACACATTAATTTCAGGCTATGTTGCAAGATCGGGATCTCTATTACCCCATGCAGTGAGACAATGGGGGAGGTCAGCTGAGGTCATCCTGGAACAGGCAACTACAGGACTAATGGGGATATGTCCAGGAAAGAGCTACAGGGGTTGTGAACTGCAAAGAACTTTAAAAAATACACGTCGCCAACAAGGCTATCAGACCTTAATGCCTGATATAAAAACAAAACCTTAATTGTTACTATAAAAAATAACGCTATACACAGTATATTAACAAATCCTCGAATACACTAACAATTTATATCTTCCAATAATCGAATTCGACATCATCATAACAGTTCATCTAAGAAACAGTACAGTATATCATACATCGTGAACTGAGGGAGCACTTTCTCCCTGGGAAAATATAAAACCGTTCGACAGGTCTCCGGCGATGCGTTGCGGATGAGTGCTCCGCCAACCCCGGGTTAGTTTTTACATTAACAACACAGCTTTCCTTAATAACCTAAGATAACGGTCACATTACATCACGTCCTTTGACACAGCTTTAAGAGAAAGCGAAATAACTCTCGCCGGGAAACAATACTCACGTTTTCTCTAAACACCGTTCACAAACCAGTCTTTCACAAAATAAATTATCGGGAAATTAAACTATTCTTCAATTTCATGTCAGACCAACGAGCGTTTGTTCCACTGGCCTCCGATGAAATAATTTTGTTTGTGTTATAGATAACCCCGAAAAATACACTTCTGAGTATTGCGAATAAAAATGCAGTGTCATTTTCTAAAGATTTACTTGGTTAAGTGGCCGTGTTTGACGCATCTGTACTGTCATGTCATCAGTGACTTCACCATTATCACCTGAACAAAGGCTACCCGTTTCCAGGTGTCAATGTGTCTTAATTCATCAGCTTTTGTGAAAACACGTTAAACCAACATGTCGAAGAAAATACAATATATATTTATTTCCTTAAATTTACAGCACGGTTGCAAAATACATCTCCCTGCTGGAGGTGGAAAACTTTCTTACAAAATTTTAATCAACCCGCAGCACGTTGGCTGGTTCATCCACACACGGGCTGGTACATCCACACGCTGGCTGGTTCGTCCACACGTTGGCTGGTTCATCCACACGTTGGCTGGTTCATCCACACACGGGCTGGTACATCCACACGCTGGCTGGTTCGTCCACACGTTGGCTGGTTCATCCACACGTTGGCTGGTTCATCCACACGTTGGCTGGTTCATCCACACGTTGGCTGGTTCATCCACACGTTGGCTGGTTCAGGACTTACATCAGATGTGACCAGCAAGCGACGGGTGGCGAATGGCGAGGTGTTCCCGCCCGCCAGCCACCCGTGACGAGTCGTGGCTCAGCCAACTTATAATCACCAGGATCATGGTGTCTGCAAGCTCTTAGGACCACCTGAAGATTCGCCCCCCCCACAGGTTATTTCACCTGGAAGTAACCACCCTAACGCTACCTGGGAGTAAAGTTAGGTTAAATTAGGTTAGTGTTAGGGTATTTCATATCAGGTGAAAGGAGTCAGGGGATAATCTTCACGTGATCAAGCTCTTATCGCCCTTCAGTATCGCGAGGTCTGGCGGCTTACTGGCCTCCGGTGAGAACACTATACACACACACACACACTTAACTATAAACGTTTGGGCAGGTAAGGATTGGCCCTAGCTTGTTTCAGTATGTTTCACCCCTAAACTAACAAACTTAACCTAACACAATATAAAGTGACTTAACCTAACCTAACACTTAACCTGACCTGACCTCTCCAGATAGCGTTATGTGAAATAAGTAGAGCAAATCTTCAGGTGAACCTAAACGTCTGCAAGAAAGGTTTCTCAAGCTTACACACACAGAAAGGCGACGTTTTCCAAGCTTAGATATTTAGAGGGAGGTTTTTAAGCTTTAGTCTAACGTTTAAAATCAATAAAATACCGAAACTTTATGAGAAAATTCAAGTTTCAAAATCGTAAACAATTAAAATATTAGTTGAAGACGAAGGTTGATGAAAGCTGTGTCTAAAGTTATGGCTGGTACGATGAATGTTCCTCGTAAACAACGATGTAATAATATACCTCGAACCGTGTGATTTAAAACAAAGCAAAACAAAAATAATAATAGTAAAAAAACAAGATCCAAATAATAAATTAAAACAGTCCTAAAACAGCAAAAAAAAATGATTCTAAATTATAGAGACTTTACGTAAACTAAACACATTCACTTAGCAACAGTTACGAGCCAAAAATTAAAAGGTGGAGGATCTCTGGGGAAAAGGGCTAAAAGGGCCCCCATTAGACCTAGGGCCTCAATGTTTAACGTTTAGGTCAACTTGGGGTTCATTAAAGCACTGAACCTCAACTCTAATAATGAGGTTAGGTTAGGTTAGATTAGGGGGGTTCAAAAGGAATAGGGCTTTCATAATCAAGCCTCTTTCTCTTACTATCGCAACTACTCCTCCTCCGCCCCCTTCTCCTAGACAAGACCTTTCGACCCTTTCTACCTACCCCCTCTCACCCCCTCCTCCCATCGTCTCATCCGCGGGCAAAAGTCGAGGATTTTCGGGAGAGGCCAAAATCACTTTCCCAGATATATATCACCCCCCCCCCCCACTTCCAGACGTCCCTTTTATCCCAGCGTAATAAATTTCCAATCCCACACTCAACCTCCAGGGAAACTTGATTCCCCATTTCTTCTTCTTCACGAAATAACACTTGAGGTCTTGTTTTCCCTTTCCCAATTTCTCATTCTTTTCACTTTTACTCTTTTTTTCATAATTCTTTCCTTTCTTACTATGGTTATTTTTTATTTTCGTATTTATCTTTTCTTTCTTCTCTCTGTTCCTCTTTTAGTCTTTCATTTCCTTTCCATTCTCGTTGGTTTTGAATTTATATTATCTTATTTCCCCTTCCTCTCAAGTTTCTTTATTTGATTTTCGTCTCTAAATTCTTCTTTATTTCCACTTACCCCCACACTGCAAGATTATCCTGATTTACGTGTTAAGTTTACGCAATATTGTGTGTGTGTGTCTGTGTGTGTACAGAAGAATTTTATAGAGTGCCCAGGTGCCGAAAAATCAGGGTCATGCCATTTTTTGAACCCTTGACCTGGCCCTTACACATGTAAAATAGAAACGAACGAGAACGAGAGAGAGAGAGAGAGAGAGAGAAGAAAGTTTAAAACTGAAGAAAAAACGATATGTGATACCATGACGAATTGCCGGACCAAGGCACAAAGGCAGGAAAATCTTCACAATCACAACCAATAAGGAACGATCAGCTGTGAGACGATCAGCCGTGGATACATTCACCCTTCCTCCCTCCCACGAAGATGCACCCAGCCGATACGACGTAAACACGAGGTGGGAGAGGGTGGTGTTGAAGGTGAGGATATCAGTAGTTCCTTTATGGGTAACGGGGCAGAAAGAGCCTCTCACCCAGACACGGAGATAAGTACTTCGAGGCAGAGAAAACAAACACGAAAGAATGGGGTAGGGATGGAGGGCGGGTCGAGGGGGTGGGGGTAGTTGTGATCTTGCAACCCACCGCTGTCTCAGCAGTTTTGTTCACACAATACACTAAACTTACTTTCACTCCGCTTTTTGGTTATGCCTGTTAACTATTTTTCCTCTCTCTTTCTCCCCCCTCTCTTTATCGTAATGCAGGTCAGGAGAAAGGTCGAACAGGGCAAGGAAGAGAAGGGAAGGGCGAATATGAAGAAGGGAAACAAGGAGTGAGACAAGGCAAGGAAGGCGGAGGTTGGCTGAGATGAAGGTAAGGCGGGATGAGAGTGTGCAGGACAGTACCTACCGTATATTGATATTTTCATTAAAACAAATTCTCCGTCTAATAACACATTTTCATCCTGGAATTGAAAATTGACGTGGTAATTTACTTTAGTGGATCCAGAATAAGAAAGCTCCCTAATATGACCATCGAATAAATTATAAATGGCGAGTAATTGGGGTTGCAAAATAAATAAATTTATTCGAAGAGTCATCACAACCAGTAATTACTAAATTCACAACTTTTCACCTCAAATCATTAGTCAACGAGTTGTGGTGTACCTATATAGAAGTTGCGAACAAATAAATCACCACAACAAACCTTTCCCAACTTTTAATAAATATGTATATAAATAAATAAATAAATAAATCAGAGTACCGTCCTCATAAAAACGTAGATATGATTCGTTCTACAAGTATTAAGTAGAGGAGTATCTCTTTATAGATGGCTCTCATAAAACGGCCACTACAGTAAAGGCGGGAACGGTAAGGGGGAAGACACTGTCGGGGGCAATGGGTAGGGCAAGGTGAGGCACTGCTGGGTGGGGCAGGGCGGGGCTACGATGGGTGGGGGCACAAGTTGACTGAGATCAGAGCAGGTTAGTGTAGACCAGGAGGCGGGTGGGAGGGGTAGCAGGGGGCAGGTGGGAGGGGTAGCAGGGGCAGGTGGGAGGGGTAAGAGGTGAGATGTGTGAATGCATGGCGGAGGAAGACACGTTAAGGTGAGGAAGAGAGCGGGAAAAGTGGTCAGCAAAACAGTAAGGTGTTGGAGGGAAAAGAAGAAGGATGGAGAGGGGAAAGATGGATGGAAAAAAAGATGCGAGAATGGTGTTCATGATCAGGGAGGGGGAGTAAGAGGAGGAGGAACGGAAAAATAAACAGGACACAACGTCCGGCTAATGGAGAGCCAACAGTGTAGATAGACAGGTGGTGGTAAACGATCGAGAGAGAGAGAGAGAGAGAGAGAGAGAGAGAGATTATACACATACGACTCAAAATGACTACAATAATTTCAGCCATGCATCAAATTCACTGCCCAGAGTTCATTTTCAAAATATGAAGTCAACTCAGAGCCTGGATAAACTCACCACAGTTCCACAGCGGCCGAATTACCCTGTCTAGGCCCGGGAGACATGCTGTACTGAATCATTAAGTTCTAAGAAAAAGCAGTTTGCACGAAAAAGTCTTTAAGCGCTGAAAATATAAGCCTCCTACGGTACGGTTCACGATTCGCTACTGATGAGTAATGAGGCCTCACACAACCACTGAGGCCTCACTTCCCACGTCTTCGACTCGGTTATTTGTCATGGTGGTTCCAACGGTGTCAAATAGGTCATATTGTTTTAATTATTAAACGACAAACAGAGACTATCACCTACTGTGTGTTTATTTTTAGGATAAAGATAACATGATAAATCCGGATTCATAAGTTAATTCCCAGAACGGATTCAAACTTGGCTCCAATCAGATCACGTTTATTACCAATCGCATACGTGTTTGTCTCCTCCCCTCCCTCCCTCCATCACCCACACGTGCTTATCATACAGGAGCACTCGTCGCTAAGGCACACACTTGCACATATACTCACCCTCTATGTACACTGACCCGGTTTATCAATTTTCACTTTCCTAATCGTCTCCTTCCTTCACCCTCTCTTCCTCTTTTGCACTGCCTCCTTTATATTCTTCCATCTATTTTCCTTTTCCTCCTTCCCCATCCTTCTCTCTTCACCCTGAGTACGTTATTCTTTTACCTCCTCCTCCTCCTCTACTCTTCTTCCCTCTCCTCGTACCATTCACTCTCCCCTCTCTTCATTTCACACTCCTCCTCGGTCCACTCTCTCTCTCTAGCCATCATGCATAATCTCCCCATTACTAACATTAACTCTCTTCGCTCCTCAGTCAATTCTTTTCTAAATAGTGATCAAACTTTTTTATGCCCGTATTATGGAAGGGCTATCTACAAGGGGTCACGAGAAACTAATATTGGGAGCCCTGCTTAAAGTGGAACCCTAGCTACATTGGAAACCTAACTACTGTACAGTGGGAACCTAGCTACAGTGAGACCCTAGCTACAGTTAGACCCTAGCTACAGTGGGACCCTGGTTACAGTGGGACCATAGCTACAGTTTTGCCACTGGAATGGGTCTTGGACACAGCTCCGTCGATTACATCATTATACATAACATATATCTGTCAAGGAGAACACAATTGCATATTTCACGCTTCGGGTCCTGGTTGTGTGGCAAAGCACTATTTTACTCTCAGCTGGAACCTCCGAGTTAGCCGAGCACTGAGAGTTACTGCTCACTTAAAGACACCCAAGCCTTGGAGGTTTGCACAAGACGCTCTTAAATTTTCAAGGCTATGACGAAGCAGTTCTGAGGAGATGGAAAACTCGAGATGTAAACCAGCATTTACGTTGGGTAGAAAGTCAAAAACATTACAGGAACCCGTAAACACCTGCTTCATTGATCAACGTATGCTAGTGCTGTTGAGAGAAAACGCCCGAATATTTATGGTAAACTCAATCATTTTAGCACTAGCTGACCATCGCACCAGTGAATTCATACAGGCTACAGCAATACCCTTTCCCTTTCATTTTCTATTATTCTAGTTAATTTTGAAACTTAAGAATTATATTTCATGGATCTATGCAAATAAACTATTATTTCTCTCTGGCCTAGTGTCAAACAGGGCGTATAGTATGAACAAATCAGCCCCTTCCTTTAAGTGGTCTATCCTTGGTCGAATTGACTTACTGTTTACCACTGTATATCTGCACTGTATATATAAACTGTAATTGTCTGTACATTGTATACCTGCTGTCTATTTACATTGTATACATGCTGAACTATTGTGAACTTGTATAACGATTTTACCGAATGTCTATCTATCTATCTCGTATTTCTTAATCATATTTCCCAAAACTCATGAAATATCTACCTACACTGCCCACAACATTACATAAACAAAGATTAATATGAGAATTTTCCAACCCATGAGAAAACTCTGAACACCCAGACGATAATTGTCACAATAAATATGAGAACCGACAGTGTGTGGAGAAGACGTGAGGTGTTGGGCGTCCTAGTAACATATACACAAGCAAAACATTATCCTCTTATCATGAGTACTGATATAAACTAAAGTCCTTTTTCTTGATTTTTCTAGTTTAGTTAGTTTTCGCATTTCAGAACGACCCAGTACATATTGTATTATTGTTTTCATTTTCTTTATTATTGATAAGTGTAACAATTGAATGAGTTTGCCCCCTGGCGTAGCATTTTTGCTTTTTGTATATAGTTTTATCTTATTTTCCCTCTTTTAGCTTTTCTCGTGTAATAAAGATAGATGGGTGTGTACGGTGAGGGGAGGGGGGGGGGGCAATTGGGTTGTACAAGAGCGTAACAGCGGGAGTCCAGCAAATTAATAATGGCGATTACATTCTTACGCCATACATGGAGACATTTGGGTGGGAAATTACTAAACACGACTCTCCTTTAATATCGTAGAGATTAAACGTTCTTGGTGACAAATAACAATTCATACTATGGTATTTATTAAACCCAGTACGCGTCTAAAAATGTGGTTCAAAGAAAACTTATAAGAGCGCTATCGACAAGCCGATGAAATCTTGAATTCGTAGTCAGTCAGAATTTGGCTCCACATAATGAAATCATAATTTAAACATAGTCTCGATTGTTATGCACGTAAAATAACAAATTGCTGGCATCATTTAGCATTTGTTCACGTCAACAAGAGAATAGTTAAATTGAACGCGTTAACTTGTACTGAGTGAAAGCGACTCAAATATATCACCAGAGTTTATTTACAAAGTTTTCCTATAACAAGGAGTTTAGCGACAACGCATCTTGACTTCCTAAAAGACTAGACCAACAATAATAAGCAGCTGTCGGTATGAAGAACATCAAAATAAATGGACACTAAAATTATCTTAATTGTTATCTACGGTACGGTAAGTTACGTAGGAACTTAAGGGAATCCGGTGACAGTACATCAGTGGTCCGTGCCTCCGTGGCGGTCACACATCGTTACCCTCACAACCACAGCGACCATGACCAAACTCTACATTACTCCACCTTCCTCCTACAAGCCTCCTCACATACACACACATTCCTAATTCTCCTTCGCCTGTGGTCGTGTGTATTTTGGAGACATGTTTACAAGACAGTGTCAGTGTTAAGGTCACGTAATGGGTGATGGCTATTATGGCTGCAGGAGTGTGTGCCTGTTACGTTTTAACTCCCTCTGTCTCTCAAAACGGGCAAGCTCAAACCTTTATGGCCTTAAACCGCTTATGATCCCAAACTGATTAAAATCTCAAACTGCGATACGTCTTTTCTGAGTAGAATTTCATCCTGCATATTGTGACCCTAGACCTGAAGGGGAGAGGTATTAGCACACATCACTTTCCCCTGG